TTTTACAATATTTTGTAGTTTAAACAATTTCATAATTTCAAATTTCATATTTTACGATTTTACATTTCATATTTTAGATATTTCAATATTTCATATTGATTTCTGTAATTATTACTCCTTTCTGAACTGCTGATCTCTTCGCATTTCCTCCTTGTCATCAAACCTCTGTCTCTGCAAGAGTTCGAACGCTTACCTGTCAAAGAGATGCAAGAGCTTCATCTGGCACTGCGCGCTTGAGGCCGTGGNGCATAAACGGCTGTATCTTTTGATTGCTTTGGCTTAGAAGTTTGATTTTTTCACAGCTTCAAGGGACAGTAGACCTGAGTAATTGATATAAATTTCAGCTTCATACCTCCACGCGTTCCTGAGAAAAAGGGTCTTGACAATCGGACGGACGGACAACAAAGTGATCCTATAAGGGTTCCGTTTTTTCCTTTTGAGGTACGGAACCCTAAAAACTAATTCTCCTTTTATTTCTTCCAGCAACGAGAGAAGACGGCACCACCAAGATAGACATCGACTGGCCGTTCCTAGAACTGATATACCAACACACAGAAGACACCAAGTATTCAGAATTGGAACCTCCTCTACACTGGCCCAATGGGGAAGAAGAAACGAGCGTGCCTAAGGTTAGTGAAGAATAGACTTATAGACGAAGAGATAAGGCTTTATTTTCAGTGGCAGTAACTTTTGGAATAGTACATTACGATTGACTGATCAAAGTGACTGAGTTTCTTCCGCCCCTTCTTCTCAGCACCAGCCCATATGTTGTTCCGAAGTGGTGGTAGGGCAAGCTATATTTATGACGTTTATACGCCCTATACAGTTCGTGAGTCGTAAGCTGATCTTTATATTAAAAAAAAACGCAAAAATTTTAGTATGGAAAAAATGAACACACAAACAAAACACTAAGAATTAATCACGTCACGCTGCTACCTACAAAAGGTGAAGTGTGACAGATTCGCGGCCGACTTGCGCCTCAGACCAACTGCCAAAAAGAGGTCATAATAACTATATTATTACTTGAACTTGGCTTGACACGCTCCTGCGTGTCTAGATAAACTGTACTTTGTATAAACTTGCCAAATGTTGGTCTCGAAGCGCTGGTAGGGTAAAAAGATTATCGAGACATGTAGAGGCTTTTAGTTGGCCGATAGTTGTGCCCGATTTCAAATTGTATGAAGAATCGGCCAAATCGAATCGGCGTAGTGTGCGCACTCCCATACATGCCCATACTGATCAACTGCCCGACTAAACTGTCGGCCGACGATAAACCAACAGTGTGCGCCTACTCTAACAGCAAAATATTTGACGATTTGTAAGCACTATTTAATACACTATACAAATAAAGAAATTTTTACTTTGACTTTGACTTTGTAACGCCTACACTATCCATGTGCACTCGCAAATGCAAAGCTCAGCTGAAGACTCGCGAACTGTAAAGACATTTTGCATTTGATTCTTGATTTTGATTTCCAGGTGAACAAAGAGGAAGAGAAAGGCAGCAAGAAGGAAATCAGCAACCCTCTCCTAAAGCCAGGAGAGACGTTTGTGTTCGACCCCGAGAAGTATAGGGAGGCGGTCGTCACTCCCTGGTATAGGAATCAGGACCAACCGCAGGTAACATCTTTATTTTCATCATATCGTCATGATTATCATCCTCATCTTCATCCACATCTATGAAACTATAGATTGTTTAAGACCACAGATCACAGAAACTAAAGGGAGATGTGACAATGGGGCGGGGCCGGTGTCGCAGCAATATGCCCAAAAACAGAACACATTGCTTGTGACAGCAATGATGCAGCGACGTCATAGTGTAAACTGTTTACATTGCTTGCGTAGTACTAAAGATTATTCGAACGTTGAGTACTGATACCGCTGTGGATAATGAGCACATATTTTGATTTCTTTGTGAAAATACAGGTTGTTGAAAATTTGTGTTTATATCCCCTTTTGTGTGAATAGCACGTTATTAAACACCTAACAGGTAAAAATTATTTATCTTATGCAATGTAAAAACCTTTACCCTATCGTTTTTCAATGTGGATTTCTTGAAATTAAAGACGAAAATAATTATTTTGATCGTTTATTAATTATTACAAATTTTGTTCAAAATGTCCGCCTCGGCAACGTATACACTCACGACATCTTCTAAAAAAAGTAGCCGCCTGGCATGGAACGTGTTATGGGGGCTGAAAATATAGGAAATGACCCATTCTATCCGCCAAATCATTTTGGCACACGATGCGCCAAACACCCTGTATAAATCCAGCTTTACGTGCGAAAACTACATTTAGTTCATACCAAAATCCACCTAAACTACTCTGACTTAGAATCCAAAGTCATGTAACAAATCTTTCCTTTCCAGTTCTTTCTAGTAGCAGAGATATGTTGGAACCTCACACCAGACTCGGCGTTCCCTTCAGCCACTCATACCAGCTTCAGAAACTACTATAGCAATAAATATGGGGTGGTTTTGACCCAGCCTAACCAACCACTGTTGGATGTGGACCATACGAGCGCGAGATTGAACCTTCTGACGCCTAGGTAAGTTTTAATTTCGTCTAAACTTTCAAGTGAAACCTATCAGAATAAAATTATCCGTCCTAATCAGTGAAAATCCGACGTATTTTCGCTTCAGCAGCGCTTAGTTTTCCTTAAACTACTAGGTACATGAAAAAACATAGAATTATTTTAACTCGGTCAAATCAACTTCTGATAATATACAAACTATTAGAGTAGGCGCACACCGTTGATTTTTAGTTGGCCGATAGTTGTGCCCGATTTTAATTTGTATGAAGAATCGGCCAAATCGAATCGGCGTAGTGTGCGCACTCCCATACATGCCCACACTGATCAACTGCCCGACTAAACTATCGGCCGACGAAAAATCAACGGTGTGCGCCTACTCTTAATGTATGACGGATACGGACGGACGCCCCTAGCGGAAATGTTCAAGAACTAAAATTTTCATACATTTTTTTAACGCTCTCACTAGAGGACGTTTGATGTAAACTCACACTCGGGTTGATCTTGTTTCTCGTTTCTCCACACAAATTTGGACCCTCTTTTCATCCCCTTAGGGGTGAATTTTGTAAAAGCTTTCTCAGCCTACGTCATAATCGGAGCTGCGCGTCAAACTGTATAACCGTTCATTGCGTTGATTCATCAGTTTTTAAATAAACGGGTAACTACCTTAAATTTTGCTAGGAAAAGTCCAAAGTGGAGCTTATGACGTCTTAGCAAGGTCCATTTTTGTTTTTTCTGCTCAGTCGGTACACTCTTGTCAGAGTGGTCGTGGTAATCATTGTGAATCACGATGTTCCTCGCAATACGGCGCCATTCCTCGATGACTGCAGCTTTCCGGGCACTTTCGTTAACCGAACACTTAGTTGCGGCCTTGATCTGGTCTGTCCATCTTATTATTATAAGATTTTAAACTTTCGCGTTCCTTTTCAATTAAAATAGTAAGACACGGGTCTTAACGCGACTTTCATTAATGAGTTACATTATGTACTCACAGCTTGACGCGAACCGCCAGTCTGCTTGTGACCACGGCTGAAGCATCGCAGCCGAAACGTCAAGCCGTGAGTACATAATGTAACTCATTAATAAACGTCGCGTTAAGACCCGTGTCTTACCATCTTATTATTGCTTAACCACCATTATAAAACAGTCCATTCCTCCACAGATACGTAAACCGCAAAGGCGTGGCCTTACCAGTGTCATCGGAACGCACGCGCCGAGCGAAACGAGACCGACTGGACCAGAAGCAGATATTAGTTCCCGAGCTCTGCCGCGTGCATCCCTTTGCGGCGCCACTGTGGTTCGCTACTGTGGCGCTACCTTGCGTGCTTTACAGGTGAGTTTGAACGTTTTGTATTAGATATAAAGTAGCAATTTGCTTGTAGACATACTGTAGAGAGAGCGACAAGCGAGTTTGGACTTTATGTGTGCGGCATAGAGTCGCTATTCGCTCGCCAACATACTGTAGAGCGACCGGCTGTCATTAGTCCAGATTGCCACAAGGTATACAGGCGAGTGTAGACCTTATGTGTGCGTCATAGAGTCGCCTTTCGTTCGCTACGACATCTTTAGACCTTAGTAGTGCGTCATAGAGACGTTCAGCCCTTCACCAGAAGCATCATATTAGTTCTTGAGCTCTGGTGTGTGCTGTACAGGCGAGTGTGAACCTTATGTCAACAGAATAGAGTCGCTATTCCCTTGTCACTGTACCAGAAGTCGCTTGTAGACAGACAGACTGGACCAAAAGCAAATATTAGTTCCTGAGTTATGTACAGGCGACTGTGGACCTTATACGTGCTGTATAAAGTCGCTATTCCCTTGTCACTGTATTAGAAGTCGCTTGTAGACAGACCGACTGGACCAGAAGCAGATATTAGTTCCCGAGCTCTGCCGCGTGCATCCGTTTGCGGCGCCACTGTGGTTCGCCACTGTGACGCTACCTTGCGTGCTGTACAGGCGAGTTTAGTCTTTATATGTGGGGCATAAAGTCGCTTTTCGTCCGCCACGACACCGTTAAGGTTGCCGCGTGTTCTAGATACGAGTTTGGACCTTATTATGTGTGGCATAGACTCGCTATTTGCTTGCTACCACACTATAGGGAGACTGACCGTCATTAATCAAGGTTGCATCGTGCTGTACAGGCGACTGTGGACATTATACGTGCTGTATAAAGTCGCTTTTCCCTCGCTATTGTACCAGAAGTCACTTGTAGACAGACCGACTGGACCAGAAGCAGATACTAGTTCCCGAGCTCTGCCGCGTGCATCCGGCATTGCGTGCTTTACAGGCGAGTTTAGTCTTTATAAGTGTGGCATAAAGTCGCTTTTCGTCCTTATTATGTATGGCATAGAGTCGCTTTTTACCAGAAGCAGATATTAGTTCCCGAGCTGTGCCGCGTGCATCCCTTCGCGGCGCCACTGTGGTTCGCTACTGTGGCGTTACCTTGCGTGCTTTACAGGCGAGTTTGGACCTTATATCAAGGGTATAGAGCCGATAGTCACTTGTAGACTTACCATCTGGGCGTAGAGCCGCTATTTGCTCGCCACTGCGCCAGAAACAGATAGTTAAGGTTGCCTCATCATGTACAGGCGACTGTGAACCTTAACCTGCGTGTTGTACAGGCGAGTTTGAACCTTACATAAACGGTATACAGTCGTTAGTCGCTTGTAGACGCTTGGCACTTCACCAGAAGCTTCATATCAGTTCCTGAGCTCTTGTGTGTGTTGTACAGGCGAGTTTGAACCTTACATTAACGGTATACAGTCGTTAGTCGCTTGTAGACGCTTGGCACTTCACCAGAAGCTTCATATCAGTTCCTGAGCTCTTGTGTGTGTTGTACAGGCGAGTGTAGACCTTCTGTGTGCGCCATAGGAGTCGCTATTCGCTCGCCAACAAACTGTTGATAGAGAGACTGATATTAGGTAAAGTTGCCGCATATTCTACAGGCAATTGTAGACCTTATGAGTGCGGCATAGAGTCTATAGTCGCTTGTAGACATACAGAAGCAGATATTAGTTCCCGAGCTCTGCCGCGTGCATTCATTCGCGGCGCCACTGTGGTTCGCTACTGTGGCGCTACCTTGCGTGCTTTACAGGCGAGTTTGAACCTTATATCAAGAGTATAGAGACGCTATTCGCTCACTAACTTACTGTGGAAAGAGCGACTGATATTAGTCAAGGTTGCTTCGTGCTGTACAGGCGAGTTTAGATCTTATGAGTGCGGCATAAAGTCAGTAGTCGCTTGTAGACGCTTGGCACTTCGCCAAAAGCATCATATTAGTTCCTGAGCTCTGGTGTGTGAAGTACAGGCGAGTTTGAACCTTATGTCAACGGTATAGAGACGTTTTTCAATCGTCGCCGAACTGTAGGTAGAAAGACTGATATTAGGTAAGATTGCAGCATACTCTAGAGGCGAGTGTGGACCTTATGAGTGCGGTGTAGAGGCGATAGTCGCTTACAGACTGGACCAGAAGCAGATATTAGTGCGGCGCCACTGTGGTTCGCTACTGTGGCGTTACCTTGCGTGCTTTACAGGCGAGTGTAGTCTTTATAAGTGTGGCATAAAGTCGCTTTTCGTCCGCCACGACACCGTTAAGGTTGCCGCGTGCTCTAGATGCGACTGTGGACCTTATGTGTGTGGCATAGAGTCGCTCGGCTCTTCACCAGAAGCATCATATTAGTTCCTGAGCTCTGGTGTGTGTTGTACAAGCGAGTTTGAACCTTATATCAACGGTATAGAGTCGCTTTTCCCTCACCATTGTCACCAGATTCACATGTTACTTAAGGTTGCTGTGCAGGCGAGTGTGAACCTTATGTCAACGGTATATAATCGCTAGTCGCTTGCCAACATACTGTTGATAGAAAGACTGACATTAGGTAAGGTTACCGCGTGCTGTGCAGGCGATTGTAGACCTTATGGACGCAGAATAGAGTATCTATACGCTTGATGCTATTGTCTCAACTCAACGACAGCCAGTGCAATAAAAAGTGCAAATGAGACAGCGCACATCATGTTCTCCCTCGCACTTAGACTGTACATGGTGACGTCACACAGACGCGACGTAGATGCGCGTGGTTTTTATTCGTATATTTATCGACAACTAGGTAGGTAACAAGAAGTGTTAAACGTGTGTGTAACTTTTCATCATCATCATCATCATCATCATCATATCAGCCATATGATGAAATAATAAATCTTTAGATTGAAATAAACTTAGTTTTATTATAACAAACAACAAAAAAACAATAGAAACGCGCACACCGTGACCATAGACCGGAGAGAGTAGAGATGTGCATAGACAACACAAAACGAGTTGCGTTCACACTTCATCTTGCTGTCCACTGCTGAACATAGGCCTCCCCCAATGACTTCCAAATCGCACGGTTGGTAGCGGCCTGCGTCCAGCGCCTTCCTGCTACCTTTATGACTTAACATTTAACAGATTTTTATTTATTTTTCTATTAACAACTATGTATTCAAACAGGATCAACGCGCTTCTCATAGCCGACGAGATCCGTCGAGCGGTGGCCATAGACGTGGGTCTTGGTATACCGAAGATAGACGACTCCACGTGTCCTGGCTTCCAATGGCCAGCGCTGGACTTCGGATGGAGTTTGGCTGAGGTAAATAACATCCACAGCCCGACGGATTAGCAAGCTGAAGTGGCAATGGGCAGGGCACATAGTACGCAGAACTGACGGTCGATGGGGCAGCAAGGCTCTGGAGTGGAGGCCGCGTACCGAAAAACGTAGCGTGGGACTTCCACCCACAAGGTGGACCGACGACATCATAAAGGTAGCAGGAAAGCGCTGGACGCAGGCCGCTACCAACCGGGTAACATGGAAAGCATTGGGGCCTCCCCCTATGTTCAGCAGTGGACGTTCTATGGCTGAGATTATGATGATAGTAACATCATCACGATTCTTGCTTAAGTGAAGCAGCAAATCGAACGCACATCATTGAATAGAGCTCTGATTGGTTCGTGTGTCCACGCGGCACGCGCACTGTGAGACCTCATAGTAATGTTTGTGAATACGGGCGTTAGTCTCCACAGGTTCATGACATCTCTTCGAGACTATTCCCACCGCTGCAACTCCTGTGTAGCCAGGATCTACAGCTTGACCGCAAATAACCCAACCAGTGAAGGTCAAGTTTGTCCCGGGGGAAAGTTAACTGTCATTGGACCCGCAACGAAATTAGAAGAACATAGGAGGAGTTCGAAGTTAAGGTTCGACTTCCCTCCATTGCAAAGCGAATGACAGATGATGGGGCAGATAATAATAATTCAATCAACTTACTTGAATATAAATACTTTTATTTACAGGTACTAAGTGCGGACTCTGAAAAGACTGAAAAGAAGAAAGACGAAGAAGATAAAAAGGAGGAAAAAGATGTTGAAGTCAAGTAAGTAGCATTTTTATTGTATTTATGAAAGAGTCCCCTTAGCCTAGGTGCAGACCACCGACTTTTAGTTGGCCGATAGTTGAATCGGGCTGTTGATCAGTATGGATGTAGCGGTAGTAAACCACACATTAAGGATTCGCTAAGGGACGCTGAAGGGATTGTGGCTCCAAGGAGAGCTAATAACCAAACCCGACGAGTGTTGAACGTACACTGATTTATTGAATTCACCAATATTGTAACGCATAGTGACGAGCAATGACGTAAAGCTAACTTAGCTAATTTTAAACTAGGTCAAGTAAGAAATGTACAATTTTTATGTGCGGTTAGCCCGTACATCTTGCCAATCAGAGAAGAAAAAGGACAAATCGCTTAAATTGATACAAAGTAATATGCTAAATCAGAGCTAGATGTATGAAAGTGCGCACATTACACTGATTCGGTTTCGGCCGATTCTTCATACAAATTAGAATCGGGCCCAAATATCGGTGGTCTGCGCCTAGGCTTAATGTAATATAGTTCTAGCGTTTACCTCAGTCAGTGTCTGAGGTATGGAAGCGGCACGGGAGGGCGTTTTTGAGACGTCAAACGTCAGCGAGACTTCAAATCTCCTTCAGATTTGTATGCTCTGTCACGTCATAATATGTCAATGTCACCCCTCCCGTGCCGCTCCCATGCCTCAGGCACTATCTGAGGTAAGCGCTGGACCTAAAACATAGTCCTTTCTATACGTCACTGTTACTTCGATAGTGAGTGTAGTGGAAGTTTATAAATGAAAAGACTGGACTGTATGAAATTAATTATCTATTCGGTATACATTTACAATAGTATCGAAACCGTTTAGTGCAAAGTCGTTGAAGAGAGTGCGTCAGGATCGTCTTCTTCGATGTTCGCTCGCGAACCGAACATTGCTCGTTCGTTCGCCGAACGCTCGCCGCTCCCTCCGGTCACGCCGTCAGTTGTCCGTGAGTAGACAGACACTTATTCTTATCTACTTACTATCTTTTCAGAGAAGAAGAAGAAGTGATAGAAGAAATTCCAAGAACAGAAGAACCACCGGAGAAAACCATCAACGATATTCTAGCGGAGAAAGAGGATGCTGAAAGTGTAAGTCTTCCAAAAACTAAGTTTTTAAACGAATTTTGTATTTTATTACCTGTATAGAAGGTTCAAATTTGATTAAAACAATTAGGGAATTTTCACCAATGAATTTTGAACTTTATGTACTTGTCAGAGGGCTCAAATTTGATTGTAGTGATTGGTATTTTTGTGACATTTCAATACGATTTCACTGTGTTAATTGAATGTAATAACAAAGTGTTAATTGAATGTTTTTTTTATTATTACAAGCGGAAGGATGTTATTACTACCGTAAGTTTGCTATATTTTTAGTTATTTACCGCAATTAGGTTAGGTATTTGATACCATTACCAATAATTCTTAAGCACAAGTGTTTTAAAACACACTTCTTTCAAACTTCAAAACTCAATTAATTTTAAATCAATTATAAATTAATCTATTTTGTTATTTTGTAATTAATAATTGGCAATTAATTGGTGGTGTCAAATACTCTCTTGACACCATGCTCGTACAATCATCCGGGTGGTCTGTAGCCCGTATCTACCCCATAATGACCCAGTGCCCACCCCAGAAAATCTTAGAAATAATAAATCTACTAACTTTATGACCCTAAGACCCTAATCCCCGCTGATAAATTATCTTAGATTTGATACAGTCAAAACTCATATCGGTCAAAACCACTTTTGACTGCAAAAAAAAAAACAAGTGGTTTTGACTAAAGCCCGTGGTCAATATCACTTTTTTTGACTGATTATTCCACTCATAAATCGATTTATTAGTTTTGACTGTAACAGATACGCCAATACTAGACATCTCATGACACATACGTTAATTGACTGCATGGTACGAAGTTCGCCGGGACAGCTTGTTATTTATAAATACTTTATTTCATTCACACAGGGCTTCGAAATCGGCACGTGGAGTAACGATATGGCGTCTTCAATACCGGATTCGATTGAGTACGACGAGTATATGGAGCCGCTACCTTCCAACCTCACCTTCTGCACTTCTGCTTCAGGTAAGAGAGCATAATGCTCAAGTGTCTAGGGTTCAGTTCCTATCATCATCATCATTTCAGCCACAGGACGTCCACTGCTGAACATAGGCCTCCCCCAATGACTTCCACATTGCTACCAAGCGGCTTGCATACAGCGCCTTCCTGCTACCTTTTTTTTTTATCTACAACGAGGAAGCTCTTGGTCTGTATCTCACCTGATGGTAAGTGACGATCAGGCCGAAGGTGGAAGCGAGCTTCACTCGGAATCCTCAACCACGGAGGAACTGGCTATCTTACCTCTAAATGCCGGAACACAACAATGCGGTTAACATTGTTGTTATGGCGACAGACTTAAGTAAGATGGTGGTAGCAGCCAGGCGGACTTAGAACAAGCCCTACCACCAACCAAACTGAGGGCCTAGTGTGAGTTTTCATCAAACAATGACATTAAATGTATGACAGATTGTACAGCGCCCCTAGCGGGAAACGTTCCAAAACTAAAATTTTCATACATTTTTTAAACTCGCACTCAGCCCACTTAATAGAAAAATCTGTCCCCACTTGGAATCGAACCTCTGCGTCTGAAGCAGGTGGTCTTTCCACTAGACCACAGGCGGTTGCTGCGCTTTCCGGTACGTGGCCTCCACTCCAGAACCTTGCTGCCCCATCGGCCGTCAGTCAGTCCAAGCGCTACCAACCGTGCGATGTGGAAGTCATTGGGGGACATTGTTCAGCAGTGGACATCCTGTGGCTGAAATGATGATGATGATAACAACAAATATGACAATAAATAGTAACATTTCTTCCAAAGGATAAATCTATGTAAAGCAATCTTGATCTTGTACTTGTTTTAGGTGGTACCAACTGGTGCGACCCCATAGAGAAACCGAAGAGAGAGTTCCATCCGACCAGAACGTTCTCTATGGCAGAGAGCGACTGCTCTTACATGTCGAGGTTTGTGTTATCATAAACTTTTCAGAGACTATTACTAAAGCCCGGTCTGCGAGCACGTAGAATTTTGTCCAATGACCCCAAGCTACCCATCCTTATCGCTCGCGCGTAATTATATTGCTGTCGCGACTGTGCGACGGGCGCCCGCAGTGAGTGTGCGAGCGCGACAGCAACATAATTACGCGCGAGTGATAAGGATGGGTAGCTTGGGGTCATTGGACAAAATTCTACGTGCTCGCAGACCAGACTATAGTCTTACAATCTGTGATAGCGACTTCGTACGTTAGAACTTTGAAAATAGTTTTAAATTTTCCCATTTTTGCAACATTTTTCATTGATGCTCCGCTCTTATTGGCCGTAGCGTGTGTAGCTTATAGTCTTCCTCGTTAAATTAACTATCCAACTAAAAATATTTTTTCAATTTGAACTGGTAGTTCCTGAGAACGAATATTCAACTAAACAAACTCTAAGTTTCATATTAATATCATTATCATAATATCATATTATCATAATTATGCTTCTTTTCAGTGATTTCGACACAGACGACTCTGATTTGAACACCGATAGCGACGATGACACTGAAAATGGTGGATTTTGGAGTAAGAACTGTGAGTGGTACTATTTCTTACTTGCGTTTTTTCAAGTGAATTACGTTTCTAAGGGCTGATTTTTCAATCGTCTGGTAACTTTTAACTGAAGAATAAGTTTGGCACATTGACAGTTTTAGTATGGGAAATATGTCAAAATGACAAGGTTATTATTCAGTTAAAGGATAAGTATCTGACGATTGAAAAAATCAGCCATTAGATATTTATCCGACGACTTTGATTATGAATTTAATCTGTCCGTTTAAATTGCATACTATCGTAAGTGTTTTAAGCTGTACGTCGATACGACCCTCATCCTTCAATATCATCAACAGCCTTTTACAGTCCACTGCTGGACTATGAGCCTCCTCCACTATAGTGGGGGGTTTTGCTATAATCCCCACGCTTGGCAGCCAGTTTAAAAGCTTGATGTTTTTCAAAGAGCGCTGCTGCCCGTTCTCTGTTTGACACACACCCTCATCCTTACGACACTTTAAATAAGTTCCATTATTGTTCAACAGCGATGGGAGTACGAATAGAGTACAAAACAGCGCACGAAGCCGAAGCTGTGGACGTTGAAAAGAAAAAGAAGACGCGCCCACAACCGCAGCGTGACGTCATCGATGACGCGCGCGACCGTGATGCCTACAAGAAGTATATGGCCGAAGGGAACGGCCCTAGCGAGGTAAATGCAGCCTTATTATCTTAGGCATACGGTGCAATTTGCTTCAAAAGACGTCCACTGCTGGATAATGGTCTCTCCCAAGGATTCTCACAATGACCGCTTGTACGCTGCTTGCATTAAGGAACTATGCGCCTTATGCCCTACCCATTGGGTCGTTATTAGCATGACGCGACTATGGGACGCGCCCACAACCGCAGCGTGACGTCACCGATGACGCGCGCGACAGAGACGCCTACAAGAAGTATATGGCCGAAGGGAACGGCCCTAGCGAGGTAAATATTCACAAACATTACTATGAGAGGTCTCACAGTGCGCGTGACGCATAGGGTGACACACGAACCAATCACAGATCTCTATTCAACGCTGTGCGTTCGATTTGCTACTTCACTTAAGTAAGCATCGTTTGTGAACACGGGCGTTAGTGTCTTAGGTATACGGTGCAAGTTACATAAACAATGGAATATGCACCTTATGCCCTACTCATTGGGTCGTTATTAGCATGACGAGATTGTATAAGCCACGCCCCTAGCTTTAAGAAGACGCGCCCGCAACCGCAGCGTGACGTCACAGATGACGCGCGCGACAGCAATGTTTGGTGTCGGTCGCGCGTAAGGCATTACTGTAGTGTGCGTGTGCACTCATGGAGCATTTAGCGTGTACCGATAACACTCAAACATTCGCGGAAGAGTGGTGGGGCGCGTCTTCGTGGATGAAACGATCTATACAAGTTACATTCACAATGGAATATGCACCTTATGCCTTACGCATTGGGTCGTTATTAGCATGACGCGGTACAATCAACTCTGAAAGGGATCAACACCGTATCGCCTATTGCTGCGAGGCGAGGCGTTTACGTTACGGTGCGGATAAGTGTGCGTTGCAGTATGGAGTTTCATACAAAGAATACTGACCGCTTCGCGTTGATACGGTTACGACCTGTTTCCAGGTTGATAAGTGTGCCTCGTCCTGTAACCAAATAAACATTTTTTCTTTCTTTTCTTTTAACAAAGGTGACTGACGCCCGTATTCTTGTCGCGACAAGGAAAAATTTCCGTGCTTTTAAGCGATTTTGTGAAAAATATTACTGGCAGGTAATTGCTAATTGCTCATAAGATAGGCCCCCTTAATTTAATTTATTGTCCGTGGTGCATAATCTTTTCTTAAAGGTTTTAAACCTTTGTTTGTCACCTGTCATCCGCTTTGCAATGGAGGGAAGTCGAACCTTAATTTCGAACTCCTCCTATGTTCTTCTGATTAATTTCGTTGCGGGTCCAATGACAGTTTAACTTTCCCCCGGGACAAACTTGACCTTCATAGGTTGGGTTTTTGTGGCGGTCAAGCTGTAGATCCTGGCTACACAGGAGTTGCAGTGGTGGGAACGAGAGGTGGGAATAGTCCCGTTAATTGACGCCCGTATTCACAATCGATGCTTGCTTAAATGACGCGGAAAATCGTACGCACAGCGTTGAATAGAGCTCTGTGATTGGTTCGTGTGTCAGCCTGTGCGTCCACGCGCACTGAGACCTCATAGTAATGTTTGTGAATACGGGCGTGAATTTCTTCCGCCACTTCTTCTTAGCACCAGCCCATATGTTGTCCCGAAGTGGTGGTAGGGCAAGCTATATTTGGGACGTGTATAAGTGCCCTGGAAAGGGCCTATGTACTGAATCAACTATTTTTTTCTTTGCAGTACCTCGAAAAGTTCCGTTCATCTGTCACCCACCACAAGCAAGATCTAATCACCAACGGGAACCTCATCAAAAAGGATCAAGCAATCGCCGAAATCCTACCAGAGACAAAAGAGCACAAACCACAGACTCTAAATGCACCTCCGTCCAAAATACTGGACGATTTATTCCCATACGGCCAAGAAGAGTTGACCATAGACTCTGAGGGCCAAATCAGTTTGGAAAGCATAGAGAAAAACAAAAGAGTGTTACTAAAAAGTTTGAAAGATACGATGAGCGAGGAAGAAGTGAAAAAGCTACAGTGTTTCTCTATGGTCGACGTAGATATCGACTCGCCGAATTACGTTAACGAAAAAGTCGCAAACGTAGGTTTTGATACCATAGACAGTTATGTGGAGAAAATGAGCAAAAAGGATGAAGCGAAGGAGTTTAAGCCGTATTACCAGGACGGTAGAGGCTACGGGAAGGAGTTCGATTTTGACTATCAGCCCGATTTGGAGGGACACCCTGGGCCCAGTCCTAGCGTTATTTTGCAGGTAAGAATCCGTACTTTATAATATTATAAGTCTGTTACCTCTTCACGCTCAAACCGCTTAACCGATTTAGATGAAATTTGGTATGGGCATTGTTTGAAACTCTGGCAAGGACATAGGATAGTTCTTATCCCGAAAATTTTCCCCTAAGGGGGTAAAAAGCAGGGAGGGCATGATTGGAGAATCCATAATGTCTTATGTAAGGAATATACAACATTAACGTGATAAAACGCTTACTATGGGCCTCATAAGAAGGCTCAAGGTCACCCAAAGGGCGATGGAGCGGGCTATGCTCGGAGTTTCCGTGCGTGATCGAATCAGAAATGAGGAGATCCGTAGGAGAACCAAAGTAACCGACATAGCTCGCAGAATTGCTAAAATCAAGTGGCAGTGGGCGGGGCACATAGCTCGTAGAGACGATGGCCGTTGGGGCAGGAAAGTTGTCGAGTGGCGACCACGGACTGGAAGACGTAGCGTGGGCAGGCCTCCTACTAGGTGGACCGACGATCTGGTAAAGGTCGCGGGAAGAGCCTGGATGCGGGCAGCGCAGGACCGTTCATTGCGGAAAACCTTGGGGGAGGCCTTTGTCCAGCAGTGGACGTCATTTGGCTGAAACGAACGTGATAAAGACTGTGACAGACCTAAGTTCCGCTAGTTTAAATAAAAAATGCCAAATTTAATGTTTATGGCGTGGCGTCCATTGTTTCCGCTCTCTCCAACAATGGCTTTCTCAGAATACCAGCGGTTGCCATTTTTGGTTCTAACTTTGTAATCAAATTGTGCAATTTCGAGCCAAATAAATGATTTTCTTTCTTTCTTTAAATTCGCTCGAGTCTCGGCCAAAAGCTATCGAAATAATATTTTTTTATAAAGGTTAAAGTTTTCTTACACATTTTGTTTCTTTTTCAGGCACTAACGATGTCCAACGCCAACGACGGCATCAACTTAGAGCGTTTAGAGACGATCGGCGACAGTTTTCTAAAGTTTGCTATCACCGCGTATTTGTACTGCGCTCACCCGGCTGTGCATGAAGGAAAACTAAGTCATATGAGGAGTAAACAGGTGAGTGGATTATAGACCGTATCGTTTAAGAAATAAAGTATGTTTTGGCATGAAAAGTTTTGGTATATAAGGTTCATATTGGTTTGTAAAATTAGTTTTTCTATACTGTGTTCATCTGACTGTGCATGAAGGAAAACTGAGCCATATGAGAAGTAAACAGGTGAGTGGATTGTGGACTGTATAACTTAAGAGATAAAGTTTGTTTTGGCATGAGAAGTTTTGGTATATAAGGATGATAGTTGCTTGTAGTTTATTCCGTACTGTGTTCACCTGACTGCATGAAGGAAAACTGAGCCATATGAGGAGTAAACAGGTGAGTGGATTTAGACCTTATGATGTAAGCAGTAAAGTATGTTTTGGCGTGGAAAGATTAGGTGTTTAAAGTTGAAATTGAGGTTTAGGTTCTGTTAAATAAGATTGATATTTGCTTGTAAATTAGTTAATTCTAAACTGTCATATATTAATTTTGTGTAAGTGAAACTCGGGCATATGAGAAGAATGTAAATAGGCAAGTGTTTTATCGACTGTATGCTTGAGGTAACAAAGTTAAATTTTGTTTGTAACATTTTGCTGTATAAGATTGAGAAGAGATATTGATGTTTCCTTGTTAATTAGTTTATTCTGTGCCGTTTTTATCTGGATGCTTTGTGCAGAAAATGTTGGTCATGTGAAGAAAAACTCATATAGCTTATTTATTTTTGCAAATAGGCTTTTAAAAAGCACTTTTACACGTCCCAGTATTAACCCTACAACTGCTTCCGGACAATAAATGGGCCAGTGCTGAGAAGAGTACTGAAAAATGCATTGAGGACCTTATAATCTTAGCGAATAAGTTTATTTCAGCTTAAAAAGTTTCGAAAGATTAGAGGTTGAAAAATTAATCTTTTCTTTGCAGGTTTCCAACTTGAACCTCTACCGGCTAGGCAGGAACAAGCGTCTCGGTGCTAGGATGATAGCGAGCAAGTTTGAGCCCCACGACAACTGGTTGCCGCCGTGCCATAAGGCGCCTCTCACACATACACAACCTGACGCTAAGGTAAGAGAGAGAGAAGAATAGAGGGGAGAGAGAGAGAGAGCAATAGAAATAGCTAACTCAGAATCACAGCTTGCTGCTAAGGTAAGTGAAACAGACTGTTGGAGAGAGATAGCATAATACGCTTCCGACGCCAGACAGAGAAACACTAAGGTGATGCAACCTGACGCCATGGTAAGTCTAAGAAGGAGAGAGAGAGAGCTTGAGTGAGAATAGACGAAAGAGAGACTGACAGACGGCAGAGAGACACCAAGGTAACATAACCGATGCTAAAGTGAGTTTAAGAGAGAGAGGCAGATAGACGACAGAGAGAGAGACAACAAGCGTCTCGACGCTAGAATGATGCGAGCAAGTTTGAGCCCCATGACAACTGGCTACCGCCGTGCCATAAGGCGCCTCTCACACATACACAACCTGATGCTAAGGTAAGAGAGAGAGAGGAAGAGAGAGAGAGAGAGAGAGAGGAAGAGATAGAGGGGGAGGGAGAGAGAGACAGAGGAGGGAGGGAGAGAGAGGAGAGGGAGAGAAAGAGAGAGCACTACAAATGGCTGCCCTGAAAGCCTATGAATAATATTTACAGCCAGTCGCTAAGGTAAGAGACACACTGACAGAGAGAGATACTAAGGTTATGCAACCTGACGCCATCGTAAGTCTAAAGAGAGAGAGAGCTAGAGGGAGAATAGACGAAAGAGAGACTGACAGACGGCAGAGAGACACCAAGGTAACATAACCGACGCTAAAGTGAGTTTAAGAGAGAGAGGCAGATAGACGACAGAGAGAGACAACAAGCGTCTCGACGCTAGAATAATGCGAGCAAGTTTGAGCCCCACGACAACTGGTTGCCGCCGTGCCATAAGGCGCCTCTCACACATACACAACCTGACGCTAAGGTAAGAGAGAGAGAGAGAGAGTGATAGAGGGGGAGGGAGAGAGAGGAGAGGGAGAGAAAGAGAGAGCACTACAAATGGCTGCCCTGAAAGCCTATGAATAATATTTACTGCCTGCCGCTAAGGTAAGAGACACACTGACAGAGAGAGACACTAAGGTGATGCAACCTGACGCCATGGTAATTTTAAAGAGAGAGAGAGAGAGAGCGCGCTAAAGGGAGAATAGACGAAAGAGAGACTGACAGACGGCAGAGAGACACCAAGGCAACATAACCGATGCTAAGGTAAGTCTGAGAGAGTCAGATAGACGACAGAGGGAGACAACAAGCGTCTCGGCGCTAGGATGATAGCGAGCAAGTTTGAGCCCCACTACAACTGGTTGACGCCGTGCCATAAGGCGCCTCTCACACATACACAACCTGACGCTAAGGTAAGAGAGAGAGAGATAGAGGGGGAGGGAGAGAGAGACAGGGGAAGGAAAGAAAGAGAGAGCACTACAAATGGCTGCCGTGAAACGCAGCCTATGAATAATATTTACTGCCTGCCGCTAAGGTAAGAGACACATACTGACAGAGAGAGACACTAAGGTGATGCAACCTGACGCCATGACAATTTTAAAGAGAGAGAGAGCTAGGGGGAGAATAGACGAAAGAGAGACTGACCTAGAGGGAGAATAGACGAAAGAGAGACTGACCGACGACAGAGAGACACCAAGGTAACATAACCGATGCTAAGTTGAGTAATAAAATAAAAATCACTTCGTTCATTTTAGCCAAATGACGACCACTGCTGGACAAAGGCCTCTCCCAAGGTTTTCCATAACGACCGGTCCCGTATCGAGGTACTTCCCGCGACCTTCACCAGTTCCTTGGACCACCTAGTGAGGAATCTGCCCACGCTACTTCTGACCCGTGGCAGCCACGAACTTTTCTGCCTCAGAGGCCATCAGCTCTGCGAGCTATGTGCCCCGCCCGGTATCCTTCCGTTTGGCCAAATTACTTTTCGTCAAATTTCACTTCGCAAACAACTTATCGCCAAAGTTTCATTTCCCAAATAAACTTTTAGCAAATGTACTTTTCGCAACTAATTCATTTGGTCAAATTATCATTTAGCAAAATTTTACTTGGCAAATGTTTATTTATATAGCTGTTTCGACGTTTAATTGAATGAATAACGCTGATTGAAGAAATAATTCGTGTATTTTGATTACTTTTCAGATTAATTTACAACCGTTGTTCGTTCGTGTTTTCTTGCTGGTAATCGAGTGAAGTTGACGCGGGCCGCCCCGCGCTCCCCTCCCGGCTCCTTGCTCGTATACAACTTCAGACGTATTATGTGCGCTGATGCGCCGATAGATGGCGTTAACATGCCGCCGGCCTTGGAAGCTCCAAGCTTCCAAAATGATGATGATCGAATCGTCATGCGTGTGTCATCGAAGGGCTCCCCGATGATNTGTTTCGACGTTTAATTGAATGAATAATGCTGACTGAAGAAATAATTCGTATATTTCGATTACTTTTTAGATTAATTTACAACCGTTGTTCGTTCGTGTTTTCTTGCTGGTAATCGAGTGAAGTTGACGCGGGCCGCCCCGCGCTCCCCTCCCGGCTCCTTGCTCGTATACAACTTCAGACATATAATGTGCGCTGATGCGCCGATAGATGGCGTTAACATGCCGCCGGCCTTGGAAGCTCCAAGCTTCCAAAATGATGATGATCGAATCGTCATGCGTGTGTCATCGAAGGGCTCCCCGATGATGCTGCAGGCGTCCACGAGATCGCAGGCGTAGACGAGATCGCAGCCGTAGACGAGATCGCAGGCGTCGACGAGATTGCTGGCGTCGACGAGATTGCAGGCGTCGACGAGATTGCAGGCGTCGACAATTCAGCTGCAGTGGGCAGTGGTAGTGGGCAGATCTTTGAAAAGGCCCGCTGTACTGTCCCCGTCGCGGTGCGAATGTCAGCGACTCGTGAAACTCCGTCTCTGCCAGGGAAGACGCGTATGATTCTCCCCAGGCACCACTTGAGAGGCGATTGATGATCGTCTTTGATAAGGACAAGACTATCTAGTTTTATGTCGTCCTTCTGCGTTTTCCATTTTGTTCTTAGTTGAAGCTCCGCCACGTATTCTGTCGACCAGCGCCTCCAGAAATGTTGCCGTAGTTGCTCGACTCGGTCGTAGCGTGCCAGGCGACTGCTCGGCACCTCGGTGATGTCTTCGCAGGCTGGAGCGGTCAACGGTCGGCCGATGAGAAAGTGGGCAGGAGTTAAGGGTAAGAGGTCGGAAGGATCTGTAGACATAGCTGATAGAGGACGGGAATTCAGGATGGCTTCAATTAGTACTAAAACAGTGCTAAATTCCTCATATGTTAGGTGAGCATTGCCTACTATACGTCTAAGATGATGCTTGCATGATCGAACTCCTGCCTCCCAAAGTCCCCCAAAATGAGCAGCGTATACTGGAATATGTTTAAATTTTATGCCATCGTTGGCAGTAAAATCTATAATTTTATCGATATTATCTTGAATTAATAATGGAAACTCTTTTTCTGCTCCAACGAAATTTTTTCCGTTGTCAGAGTGTATTTCTGCGGGTTTTCCGCGTCTTGAAATAAATCTCTTTAACGCTAAAATATAATCATTAGTGGATAAGCCACTTACTAATTCTAAATGAATGCATCTAGTTGTAAAACAAACGAATAAACAAATGTAAGCCTTTATTAATTTTGACCCCCGACCTTTGCGGTTCAATATGAAAACTGGTCCCGCGTAATCTACGCCAGTGTACATAAAAGGAAAACCTGCCTCTAAACGTTCTTTAGGTAAATTACCCATTATTGGAGTTAAAGTTTTTCCTTTCAGGCGTGAACACCTTACGCATTCATGCACTATTTTTCTAGCGAGATTCCTACCAGAAAGCGGCCACCAACTTTCGCGTATAGTGCACAATAGGTGCTGGGGTCCAGCGTGTAATAAATGTTTATGATAGTATTTAAATAAAAGACCGGTAAAATGATGTTTGCTACACAACAATGCAGGATGCCGTTTATCATAATTAAACCTGGACGAATCGCATAACCTACCTCCCACACGAATTAATTTATTATCGTCAAGAAATACATTTAAACTTAAAATACCATTCGCTTCTTTACATTTTGTTAGTGGTATTTCGTTTAATAAGTTGTTGTATACAGTCGGAAACATCTGGGCTTGCGCGCAGCGTGTCACAACAATTTCTGCATCGTGTAACTCGGCGACTGATAAGGGACCGGTGCGTCGCGCCTGCTTATTGCGTGTATTGTGAATGAACCTCAGTAGGTACGCTCCAGTCCGCTTCAATCTATTAAACTGTGAAAACCTTTTGAAGTCGAATAAGCTATCTGCATTTGTACAAACTGCACTAACTATTTTAAGTTTTAACTCTGGTAGATCTTCACGGATAGGTATCGCTTGAGTATCCCTTGACCAGTCTGCACAATGTAAAAAGGTAGGCCCGTGCCACCACAGGTTATTGTTCTTTAGTGCATCGATGTAAAGGCCCCTTGACACTAGATCGGCTGGGTTTTTATCGCCGTCTATATGCAACCACAGTGAATCGCCTGTCAACTCGTTTACTTCTGTTATTCGATTTTGTACAAAAGTTTTTAATAAATGTGGAGACATACGTAACCACCCCATCACGATTGTTGAGTCCGTCCAAAAGCAAACAGAATCGAATTTTAATCTAAGTGACTCAACAATCTTTTTGTACAATCTCGCACCAATTAAAGCACCACAAAGTTCTAATTTTGGGATACTGATCGTTTTCAAGGGAGCAACCTTACTTTTTGCACATAGTAGATTAAGCGAGACTACTGAATTCTCATCTATTGTACGAATATATGCACAAGCGCCGTATGCATCTTGTGATGCGTCTGAAAAAATATGTAGTTCCGTACGATGAGTGTGAGCTGCCCTAACACATCGTGGAATTTTAATGTCGTGTAAATGTTTTTGAATCGAATCTATGAATTTATGGAATTTTTCTGTGACGTCACTCGGTACTAGGTCATCCCAGTCGATTTTACATAGCCACAGCTTTTGTAAAATGATCTTAGAAATTATGACAACAGGGCCTAGGAGACCTAAAGGGTCATAAATTTGAGAAATGATTGACAACATCTTTCGTTTAGTTAATTGAGTGTTATCGCAGTTCTTACCTAACTCGGACGTAAAATGAAGTAGGTCATTTTTATTATGCCATCCTAAACCGAGTGTTTTTGTTTGTGTATGCTCGCCTATTGCCAACTCTTTTGACGAGTTTGTCGAGGTTACGTCACAGTTAAATGTCCATTTACGTAATGGGTAACAATATTGCCTTAAAATTTGTGATATTTTTTCGCAAATATTTATCAATTCAGCAGGATCATCGCATCCTGTAATTAGATCATCAACGTAAAAGTCCTCTTTGATAATGCGCGATATTTTTTCATCGTCGCATTCCTGTGCTACCTGTTGTAGGCATCGCATACTAAGGTACGGCGCTGACGCAGTGCCATACGTCACGGTATTTAACCTATACACGTCTATCGGATCCGAAGAGCTTTCTCTCCAAAGTATAAGCTGTAAATTACGCTGGTCTTCATGAATGAGCGTCTGTCGAAACATCTTCTCGACGTCCGCGCTTGCTACCCAATAATATTGCCTAAAGCGTAATAAAATCGAGAAAATATCGTTTTGAAGCCTAGGTCCGATAAACTGTAAATCGTTTAAGGATTTATCAGAGGTAGTGGCGCAGCTGGCGTCAAATACTACCCTTAATTTAGTTGTAGTACTACTCTCGCGAAATACGCCGTGATGCGGTAAAAAATAGTGTGGATCACTGTACTCGTTTATTTTTGTCATGTGACCTAAATCCCTATATTCTCGTATAAAATCCGCATACATACGTTTATATTGAGGCATACGTTCTAACTTCCGTTCTAAAGAGAGAAATCGTTTATAGGCAACCGAATATGAGTCACCCAACAAATCAGCTGACTCCTTTAGAGGTATTCGAACTGAAAACCTACCATCTATTTCCCGTTTTGTCGTATTTTTAAATATTTCCTCGCATTTACGTTCATCACAGGTAAATATATTTTCGCGAGGGCCACTATCCTCCAATTCCCAAAATTGACGTAATTGTAAATCGATAGTTTGTGTAAAATTGCATTGAATGTTTTGTTTACAACGCATTTTATTCGTATAAATTGGTCCGGAAATCAACCAGCCCAATTTCGTATCTTGAAGGTACGGACCACTTTTTAATCGTATTTTATTATCGTTTAAAATTTCCCAAAATAAGTCCGCACCTATTAATAAATCGACTTCCGAAGGTAGATAATAAGTAGGATCAGCGAGCTCGATGTTGTTTGGAATTCGTATAGTCTCAACATCGATACTCACGGGCGGTAAGAATGACGTGATACGCGGTAAAACAAAACATTGAACGCTCGTAGAAAAATCGTTTAACTTTGAGTGAATAATCAAATCGCATAATTTATTAGAGTGTGACACCGATTGTCCCACACCTGATATTCGAACAGTGGACTGTAAAAACTTCGTATACTTAATTCGTTTACAAAATGTTTCCGAAACGAAACAATGTTGGCTCCCGTTATCTAGGAGCGCTCGTGCCGTGTGTCGCTTATTATTATCGTCCAGTACTTCGATTAGCGCTGTAGATAATAGAACTGGTCGCGTCAACACCGGCAGAGGTGTATTTTGTGTTTGATTCAATGATGAATGCAATACAGTTGATTTTAATTGTGACGTACTGGATGCATTATGTGATGACGTATTAACACAGTTGAGGGAATCTTTATGTAGTAAGCTGTTATGTTTTTGTTTACATTGCTGACAAGGGCCGAAAAAACAGTCTTTAATCAAGTGACCTGGACGTAAACAATTGGGACAAAGGTTGTTATCATTGACTAATTTATGTCGATCCTCAACAGACAAATTTAAAAACATACTACATATGTATAACGCGTGATTCCCACGACATAATACACAAACACGATTACGTTTAGCTGATTTATTGTTTTCCGATTTCGCAGCCACATAACTGTAACTATGTGCTTGCACTGCTGGAGATTTCACATTTTGAGACTGTTTATTACTATTATTGAATTTAACGGCATTTCTGTACCGTCATCATTAGGCGGGTCCATCTTGCGTGGGTATTTGGGCGGGTAAGATCAAAAATAAAGCCGGAATATGATTCTCACACACTTGTTTAATCAATCGGAACCAATTAACACTTAATTATAAGTAATTTGACGCAGATTAAAGGCGATTCGTCGATGACGTGCAACCTCCGTCGCGCTCGAATAAAAAGTGAGCTGCAAGATGGTTGCCCGTTTGACGTTCCGCCAGAATGACAGTATTTAATCTGTCATTCTCGTCTAGAAATTGAAGGTGGCGCTACCGTCGCGCCGTCACGGCCATTCTGACAGTCGCCCGTCCTCGGGCGCATGGGCATTTCTGTAACAAGTATTCACATTAAAGTTCCGCCTACACTGCTCGCCCGTCCTGACCATAACTTCTTAATATTGCCCTACTAAAATGCTATGACCGAACACAACTACAATCTTCCTCTGCGAAGGAAATCTGCAAGGCATGAGACCAACATCTCTCTCATCGCATTCACAACAGCATATTTCTAGACCGACCGATGCGTCCCTTCGACCAGTCACAAGGACATGGACCGGACAGCAATTTCTTTACGAATATGCACGACTTCCAATACTGGACCGGACAAATGCGTCCTCACGACCAGCCACAGAGGGCATGGACCGGACAACACCGTCCCTACGACCAGTTCCACAAACTCTTATACTGGACCGGACAAGTACGTCCTTTCGACCAGCCCGCGAGGGCATGGACCGGACAACACCGTCCCTGCGACCAGTTCCACAAACTCTTATACCTCCTGGACCGGACAAGTATGTCCCTTCGACCAGTCCTTGAAGACATGGACCGGACAATACCGTCCTTACGACCAGCTCCACAAAATCTTATACTGGACCGGACAAATGCGTCCCTTCGACCAGCCCATGAGGGCGTGGACCGGACAACATCGTCCTTTCGACCAGACTCACAACGCAAAACGTCATCATTCACCATCTCAACGACCGTCTAAGAATACAAGGTAAAATTTAACTAACCATGTTTTATTCCCTATGAACTTCGACCTCAATTTCAAATCTCATGCTATTATTAAAATCTTCAGAGTCAGCAGTTAAAGTTTCAGACCCAATAGATATAGTGTCAGAGCCATTCATGTCATTGTGGAAAGGTGTTATATCGGTATCATCGTGGTTTTCTCCATTTTCCGCCGTCACGGCTTCATCCTCTTCCGAAATGTACGTTGATATTTCAATTAAACCCTCATTACCCCCGGGCACTAAACGCAAGTTCTCGTGAGCATACTTAAAAATGCGATTTGTTCCATCAAGACTTTTTAACTCGTAACGATCGTTATCAAGAACATTTATGATTACGTAGGGCCCTTTGAATTTCCTACTCAATTTGGTTTGATTACGCTCTGAACTCTTAATAAAGACAAAATCACCTTTTGTGTATGGTTTAACTGCAGCCCGACCTCTGTTAAAACGTACCGATTCAGAACTTGCAGCCTTTTCTATATTTTCAGATGCCTCATTCCGAATAGTTTCGAGATTTAACTGATTCTCACTTTGGGTATTTGGAGATATTTTAGCTAACCCTAAAGACAGTGATCTTATTCCGAACATGAGCTCGGTTGGAGTATATTTTGTTACAGTGGATCTAGTGCTGTTCAGTGCCAGCTGGATATTGCCTAGTTCATCACGCCATGTTTTATTTGGGTCGTTTTCGACAATGGTAAGCAGAGCTTTTAGGGTTTTCATAACGCGCTCCACTTGGCCATTGGCTCTGCTTGAGCCGGTGGCTATAAAGTGAAGCTCAATATTATGATCTGAACAAAAACTTTTAAATTCAGAGCTGGCATAGCATCGGCCCTGATCTGCTATAATCCGTTTTGGAGCACCGAATAAGAAAACTGCTTTCTTAAGGGCATTCACTGCACTGGATGCATTAAGTGACGTTGTATGCTCCAGTAGAACATATTTTGTGAATCCGTCAATGATGACGGAGCAATATTCTTTTTGATCACTCTTTCCACTCAATTTTCCCGTGAAATCGATATGGAGAGTATGCCACGGTGCTGACACTTTAGGTATAGGGTGAAGGCGGATTGGCTGGGCACCAGAAGGCCCTTTTGATGCCTTGCACACTATACAGGAATCTACGAACCGACGTACATGCTTGGCCATATCTGGGAACCAATATTGCTCATAGATTTTATCAAGCGTTTTATCACTCCCCAGATGCTGAATTTCTGAGTGAACGTGGTTAATAAGTGTCCACACTAAGGAACGAGGAACAATGGGAAGCCAGGATGTAACTTTATTTCGGCTTATTTTCCTGTAAAGAATCCCATTCCTTACGTCATAAGTCCCTGCGACAGCTTCCGGAAGCTCAGAGTTCAGACATTTAGCTACGAGATCTTTAATTTCGCCATCCCGTTTTTGCTCCACAGAAAGCCAACCTTCGTGAAGTTCTACGAAATTAACAGTTTTGGGGGCATTGGACTTAAATTTTGGGAAGTCTGAATCTTTAGTTGGAGGATTTCGCGAGAGATAATCAGCGTGCTCCATCACTCGACCTTCTCGATATATGATATCGAAATCATATGCCTGTAGAATTGCCCACCAACGGTGAACACGAGGAGTCAGATCACATTTCGACTTTGACGCCTTTAATGAGTTGCAGTCTGTGAAGACAGTAAATTTACGGCCATACAAGTAATGGCGAAAGTGCTCGACTGCACGAACCACGGCCAGAGTTTCAAGCTCGTACGAATGATATCGAGACTCGGTTTCAGTCGTACGACGACTATAATAAGCTACGACGTGCGGCATGGAATTGTCCCTTTGGATAAGAATTGCTCCATAGCCTTCAGAGCTAGCATCACAATGAAGTTCAACAGGCAATTCGGGATTAAATATAGTCAATACCGGTTCTGATGTAAGAATACCAATAATGGTTTGACGAATCTTCTCGTGAAATGCGGTCCATTGGATGCTTCCTTTGAATTTCGTAAGTGGGTACAACGGTCCAACTATTTTCGTGAAATTCGGTATAAACTTTCGAAAATACGAAGCTAGGCCAAGGAACTGTCGCACCTGAGTTGCGGTTCTAGGTGAGGGGGCAGTTGCTAGTGCTTCAATTTTAAGGGAATTCGGTCTAACCTCACCTGCCTCAATTTCGTAGCCTAAATAATGTACTTTACGCTTCATGAATTTGCATTTTTGTAACTTAAATGAAAAGCCTGCTTGAGAAAGGGCTTCAAGAACTTCCTCCAAACGCCTTAAGCCCTCATTGATGTCAGAAGAGTAACAAAGGACATCATCCATGTAAACAAGCGGTTTGTGCTCAAGGTCTTTTAGAGCTGTATTGATGCACCTTTGGTAGACAGACGGTGCATTGCGTAACCCGAAAGGCATAGTGAGATACTCATATTGCCCCTCGGGTGTCACAAAGGCCGTCTTCTCAACTGAATCAGGGTGGAGTAAAATCTGATGGAAGCCTGCTGCCATATCCAAAGATGAAAAGTAATGAGCTCCCGCCAGCTGATCTACCTGCTCATCAATTAATGGCAGGGGGTAATGTTCGGCGCGGGTGTTCGAGTTGAGTTCCCGGTAATCAACACACATACGATCTGTGTTATCCTTTTTCTTAATTAACAAGATTGGGCTCGCGAATGGTGAGGAACTTTCCCGAATAACACCCGCGTCCAACAACTCCTGAACTTTATCTCGCACTATCTCTTTTTCGGCGGGTGCTAATCTATAAGGCGTTCTTTGAACAAGCTTATGAGGATCTATCAAATTAATTTTCATTAGCCCCGTTTTGACTCGTTGTGTAGGTATACCGCTTATAAAATGAGTTGCATATTTATTAAGAATTCGTAGAAGTGCGAGTCTATGTTCGCCTGTTAAATCAGTATCAACCGTGATATCATCGAGAAATGACTGTTTTTCACAAACATCTACCGTCCTAGAACTGGTTATATTTAGTCCATTATCATCAATCGTCACGCGGCCACCGTTTTCTATAATATCTCTGCCTATTAAAAACGGGTCGGATATACAGTCATCCGGAACGACATGAAACAAGAGGGTAGTCGAATAATCTCCTATTTTGACCGTGCTAGAAATCTGAGAAGTGCATTGTATTTCCCCGTTTCCTATCCCTTTCAAATACACGAGATCAGAACATGCAGTACCCGGAAAGTTTAAAGAAGTACTTAATTTTATCAACGAGCAATTCGACCCACTATCGAAAAGAAATGGAATTCTCTCACCCGATGATGTCAGCAGAGTCCCTCTCGACGTGTCTCGCTCGCATAAGTTGACTTCTTTCGTTGTCCCGCCGTCCATCTTCCTGTCTGGGCACGTCGTCGCAATATGGCCGGGTTTTCCGCAGACGTAGCAGTTCACGTTGGACTTCACCACAGATGACGTTCGCACAGATGGTTCAACTTTGCTCGTACTACCGGTATCTTCACGACGTCGACGACAGTCTGCTTGTCTATGTCCAGGTATACCACAAAAGTGACATCTACCGGGAAATCGTCCGTCAGCTAATCGGGGTCTCTTTAGTTCATAGTCTTGTGTATCACAGCTCTCTGCTCGACGCTTTAAAGAAATACCTCCAAGAGCCCTAAATAGCTGGGCCCTGTTCGTTATAACTTGATAACTTAATTCACGATGGATCAGTCCATCTTTTTGGCACAATACCGAAATGACGAATCCAGTAACAGCTTCTTCAGACATTTCCACCTTCGGTATTCTTTCGATTAAATCCCACAAACGCATAGCTGACTCACCGGCAGTTTCCTTAACACCGATTTGAAAACGCATAATTTCGTCGAAATAATCTTGTATCAATTTTGGCTTGGCAAACTTGGCACATAAGGTTTGTTTCACTAATTCCCACGAAAGTTCATTCAATGGCAGCTTGGTAAGACAGGCAGCGGCTCTTCCTTTTAGAGAGGTGGTTAAGGCCATTAACAACGCGACACCTTCCAATTTCTTGCTCTGTATAATCATTTCAGACACGCGACACCAGCCCTCCACATCAGCATCGGCGTCATCAGGATTAAAATGAATTAACTGCACTGCATTCATGCCCGTTGCAATAGGTTGCTGCGCTGCCACTATGCGAGACAGTAAAATCTCCATGTTGCTCAAAATACTACTCGCATTTTCTTTGTCGGGTGGCCTTTTTTCTTCACTTGACTGCCCTTGCAATCCCACTTCTGATAACGGCATTTCTGTACCGTCATCATTAGGCGGGTCCATCTTGCGTGGGTATTTGGGCGGGTAAGATCAAAAATAAAGCCGGAATATGATTCTCACACACTTGTTTAATCAATCGGAACCAATTAACACTTAATTATAAGTAATTTGACGCAGATTAAAGGCGATTCGTCGATGACGTGCAACCTCCGTCGCGCTCGAATAAAAAGTGAGCTGCAAGATGGTTGCCCGTTTGACGTTCCGCCAGAATGACAGTATTTAATCTGTCATTCTCGTCTAGAAATTGAAGGTGGCGCTACCGTCGCGCCGTCAAATTTANTCGATTACTTTTCAGATTAATTTACAACCGTTGTTCGTTCGTGTTTTCTTGCTGGTAATCGAGTGAAGTTGACGCGGGCCGCCCCGCGCTCCCCTCCCGGCTCCTTGCTCGTATACAACTTCAGACGTATTATGTGCGCTGATGCGCCGATAGATGGCGTTAACAACATACTAGATTTTCTTTTTGCCCGCAAGTTTTGTAAGAAATTGCAACAAAATAGTGACATTGTATGTGAAAACAAACAATACCGTCCATTAAAGGCTCCAGACATCAGTATGCAGCAGAATCAGCGCAATAAAAAAATAGCGCAAAATTTTGTTGCAATTTCTTACAAAACTTGCGCGGAAAAAGCAAATTAATCTAGTATGAAAATCATCAAACTTCTAATGCTCGTAACTCAGTTCAGACTGAGTTTAGAGGTATACATGTCATAGTAAGTTTGGTTTATTACACTATTTTGTAATCAAAAAACAAAGTTTGGTCGATGGCCGCGCGAAAAAAAAAAGACGCCACCTTCCATACAAAATCTGGCATTGCCATTTGAAAAAGAAATGAGTCGATAGTAAAAAGTGGAGCTAGAAACCTTATTTTCCCTTATCCATTTTATCTGAAGACATCAAACCGAACGTTCATTTAGGCACTTACAAGTTGCCCTAAAACGCTAGAATCATCATTTTCGCAAATTTTGTTTCTCATACCAAACTATACTACGTACATGGAGCTCTACATACGTATATGCCTGCAAGCATACAAAATTATTGCTCACGGAAAAGATATTTACTTCCAATCAGAAAGTACTACACCACGCTCGAATTTTGCATGAGAGCAACTAATGAAGATATTTTACATAATTTATTTTTAAAATCTGATTCTCAGATATAGATAATAATATAAACTTCATAGAAAACACAAAGTTTTATCAACAGCAGCAAAAAGTTAATTAATAAATGATCGATTTGATGATGAGGCTGATACTGATACTGAAAGAAAGCTTTACTTTTGTGGACATTAGCCTATTTCACGGTTAAGAAACTGACTCTGAATAACCAATAAACTTAACTTCACACTGGCTTAATTTCCATAAAACATATTTTAATAAACTTACAAGTGGATTAGGCCTCCTGGAAACACCACTATAAAAAAGTGCTTAGTTCTTCACCTCGTTAGGGTAGTACGGAAGAAAGTACATAACATTGCAGTAATTTTTTTTTTCGTTTTTTTTTTATTTTAAAGTCGAAAATGACAATGTTCCGAGGGTTTCCGGGATTCGTCTCTTGGTGATAATATAGCTTATATGATGCATTACATAATACAAAAAGCAATTTCTTAAGAAAGCTTAAGAATAACGAATAAAATAAAAATAAATGTTGAGCTCCATACAAAAAAAAAGTAATTATTGTCAATAACTTATTAAATAATAACTTTATCAAAAAAAGTTACATAACATAAAATNCTTCAGACGTATTATGTGCGTTGATGCGCCGATAGATGGCGTTAACAATAGCAAATGTTTCATTTTGCCAAATATTATATCCCAAATAATTTGTTTGGTCAAATTGACACATACTTACGCACCGTCACCCACAAATCAAAGCATAAGGCACGTGATCATGGTTTTCACAAGAATTTTATGTAAAACAAAGAGATTGCGGAAAATAGTATGGTTGCAAAAAGTAGGTTTGCAGAAAATAGTAGGTTAGGTTAGGTTAGAACAGTGACCCTATTATACTATATTAGAATCACCTCTATTTTGGAAATTTCGAAAAATAGTAATGAAATAAGAAAATTAATTTAGAACAAATTTTATATTAATTACCCACTAAACAAAATAATAACCACAAGCTTATTTATATTCCATTCCATGCACCAATCAAATTATTTTGTAAATAGTTTATCGTGAAATATTTTTGCCAAATGAAACATTTGGCAAAACATACTTTGCCAAACAATAATTTGCTAAACAATAATATACCAAAAACAACATTTGCGAATTAAAAGTTTGCAATAAGTTGTTTTGCCAAATGAAAATTTGCGAAACGTTGTTTGCGATGTGATAATTTGGGAAACGATTTTTTTGACCAAACATTAGTAATCCGCCCCGCCCACTGCCCCTTGAGTTTAGCAATTCTGCGACCTATGTCGGTCACTTTGATTTTCCTGCGAATCTCCTCATTTCTGATTCGACCATACGTGAAAACTCCGAGCCTTTTTAAGAGCTTGCGCTTGTTTTGATTTATAACTTTCTTTTTTCTGTCAAAAAAGGACTATTTGTGATTTTTTCGTAATAAAAAATCATCTCGAGTTTCTTTACCTCATTTATGGTCCTTCGAGCCGGATACTGTTTTGGTCTCCTTCTGACGTTGACGTCAGCGTATGACCACTGACCACTATGACGTCAATAGGAACGTTTGACGTTGACATCGAACGCCGCCTACAGCGTTTAATAGGAGACCGTTGCCTCATAGATATCACAATCTGTCCTTTTATCTCGATGCGAGATTCTTTTTGCTCACGAAGGCGAGTGAGCTTTACTTGTGTATGTGTACATGCACATAACGATAGTGTAATGTCTATCAGAACTTTTGGAAAACGAACAGTAGCGGGCCACCACACATGTAAAGCTTACTCGCCTTCGTGAATTGCATGCAACACTATACCCATTTCTGTGTGAAACTACAAAATGTTGTTATTTACAGCTGGAGCATCTAACTGAGGATGCGCCTGTGGACAGCTCGGGCTGTTTCATCCCATACAACCTGATCACGCAGCACAGTATACCGGGTGAGTTGTTACAATCATCATCAGATTGTTTACATGTCTAGCGCAAAACTGATTCAGTGCCTGATATATGGAAGTAGCACGGGAGGGTGTTTTTGTGACTTCAAACGTCAGTGAGACTTCAGATGTGCTTCAGAGGGCATAGTGTGAGTTTACATCAAACGTGTCACTAGTGAGCGTGTTAGATTAATTATATTATGTACATACCTGATTGATATTAATATTTCATGTGACCTATAATTAATAGTGTATATTAATTATAGGTCACATGAAATATTAATATCAATCAGGTATGTACATAATATAATTAATCTAACAAGCGCGTAAAAAAAGACATTAAATGTATGACGGATTGAACAGCGCCCCTAGCGGATAATTTCAAGAACTAAAATTTTCATAGATTTTTGACGTATTCTCTGTCACTTCATACGTCTCCCCTGCCGTGCCGCACCCATAATCTCAGGCACTGACTAATGCTGGATTTCTATATTCAATCCTAATCCAAATTGGACGGATTTGGATTGTCAACTGTCAAATTTCAATATGTTTTTGGCCAAAATATCTGCGGTTTTCGATGTTTTTACATCTTCATATTGTTTATAAGACTAAAAAATATTAAATCGTAAATGCATCGAACATTTTGGAATCTAAAACTGAATTCAATTTGAGTTGTAATACGGATTTGGACAAGGATTGAATATGGGAAACGGGCGTTACTCAAGCACTATAAATCTTTGAACAATAATCTTTGAACAATTTCACACAGCGCCAGCTAGCCCCAAAGTAAGCAACTTAATGCTTGTGTTATGGGTGCTAGCTTAACGGATATACTGCTTGTATACTTTTTTTTTAAATACATACATATTATACATAGTAACACGGTAACACCCAGACCCGTCACAGAAATTAAAATTCATCATTTCAATTTCTGCCCGGCCGGGAATCGAACCCGGGACCTCTCGGCATAGTAGTCCGCTCTGAACCACTACACCAAACGGCCGATATACCTACAAATTGATAGCCAAAGTAATCCAGATTAACTGTAGTTGCTAGAACTAGGTCTGAATTTATCTATTTTTCCACAGATAAATCAATAGCCGACTGCGTAGAAGCGCTAATAGGGGCGTACCTCCTGGAGTGCGGCCCTCGCGGCGCCCTCCTGTTCATGTCGTGGCTCGGCATCCGAGTGCTCCCGCGACATCTGGTCACGCTGCCCGAAGACCACCCTTATGTCAAGGCCGCTGAGGTCGAAAATTGCACTGTAAGTACCAACATTGTATCAGTGGTCAAGCTACTCGATGATCACCCTTATGTCAAGCCGCTGAGGTCGAAAATTGCACTGTAAGTACCGAATTAGTCAAGCTGCCAGACAATCACCCTTATGTCAAGGCCGCTGAGGTCGAAAATTGCACTGTAAGTACCGAAAAAGTCTGCTGCCCGACAATCACCCTTATGTCAAGGCTGCTGAGGTCGAAAATTGCACTGTAAGTACCAAAATGTTGTCACTGACGTCACGCGTTCAAGGTGTAGCGCAGTTTCGCCGGAGATTTCAAGCGGCTAGTTGGCGCGTTGATTTCGAACACGCGTGAGGATCCAAGATCAAATCACGGTGTGAGAGGAAATTTTGTAATGTCCTGTCACGTCAAATGTCACCCTCCTATGCCGCTCCCATATGACCTGGATGAGAATTCTTTTTTTTAATAACAGTCCCGTTAGCCCTTCGTACTAAGCTTAATGCTTGTCACGAGTGGGCTCACCACAATAATCGAATGGCGGCGGGTACCGAACCAGCGTTCCCCAGGGCCACGAATCGACTAGTCCGACCCCTTCACCGTTCGGCTATCGTGACTTCGAATATCTGACTTGTGACTTTATTTCCAGAAGCAGTCAGCCCCCTCCTCGCCCAAGCACTCCCGATCCGATTCCGATTCGGAGTCGGAATGCAGTTCCGACGAGGACGAGCAGCAGGAGATAGAGCTAGACTGGAGCGCGCTCATACCGGGGACCTTAAAACCACAAAGGGCGGCTACTGGAGAATGGATGCAGGTACTGCCATCTCTATCAGACTTGCAGGAGTGTCATTGGAGCGAGAGAGATAAAGCCTGGTCTGCGAGCTCGTAGAATTTTGTCCCGAAGCTACCCATCCTTATCGCTCGCGCGTTATTATATTGCTGTCGCGACTGTGTGACGCGCGCCCGCAGTGAGTGTGCGAGCGCGACAGCAACTTAATTACGCGCGAGCGATAAGGATGGGTAGCTTGGGGTCATTAGACAAAATTCTACGTGCTCACAGACCAGACTATAGCTGCTACATAGGTTGGTAGAGCTGGAGGAGCGCAAGAACTGAAACCGCAGCGGTTGGCTACAGGAGAGTGGCTGCAGGTCAGTACCTGCTGTCTCTGTCTGCTACACTGGTGCGTGGCTGGAGCGAGAGAGACAGCTGCCATAGAGGGATATAGAGCTGGACTTCGTGGCTGCAGGTATGTGATTTTTACCATCTCTGTCAGTCGCATAAGAGTGGGGCTGGAGCGACAGAGACAGTTGTTACAACGAGAAATACAGCTGATGGAGCGCATGGACTTTAAAACCCCAAAGGGCAGCTACTGGAGAATGTATGCAGGTACTGTCATCTCTATCACACTTGCAGTAGTGTGACTGGAGTGACAGAGACAGTTGCTTCAGAGGAAGATACAACTAGACAGGAGCGCGCTCATACCGGGGACCTTAAAACCACAAAGGGCGGCTATTGGAGAATGGATGCAGGTTAGTTGCTATTTCTATAGTATCTCTGACTCTTTCAGTTGCGTTAGAGTGAGGCTGGAGCGAAAGAGACGGCTGTTACATAGATAGATACAGCTGGAGGAGCGCAGGAACTTTGAAACCGCAGCGGTTGGCTACAGGAGAGTGGCTGCAGGTCAGTACTGCTGTCTCTGTCTGCTACACTGGTGCGTGGCTGGAGCGAGAGAGACAGCTGCTATCCTACTACTGGAGGATATGGCTACTGCTGTCTCTGTCAGTCACGCAAGAGTGCAGCTGGACCGTGAGAGAGAGAGCTTGGTACGGCGTGAGAAACAAATGCTGCAGGTGAATGGATGCAGGTCAGTAATGCTATCTTTGTTTCACGCGAAAGAGTGAGAGAGACAGCTGCTACAGCGGTACATACAGCTGGACTAAGTGATTGTTGTTCAGTAGCTACGCCTGTCTCTTTCTGCCATCCAAAAGCTAGAGAGATAGCTGAAATCTTACAGCAGAAGGAAATGGAGCCTTATCCCAAGGATTTTAGTACTGCTATCTCTGTCTGGTACACTGGCGCGTGGCTGGAGCGAGAGAGACAGCTGCTACAGCGTGAGATACCAGTGGACTGACGATCTGGTGAAGGTTGCAGGATACTCAAAATGATGCTGCCGTTGTGGAAAACTGTCTTTTCCTTTATCCAGCAGTGGACGTCTTTTGGTTGAATCAGATCAATCCTTTTTCAAGTTCTTATTGTGCAGAAAATAAAGATTATTTTTATTTGCAGCCCGTGTTTGGAGAACTGAAGGCGCCCCCGTCTCCTCTCCTAAGATACATTGAAGATCCAGAAGGGGAATTGGAACAAATGCTATCTGGTGAGTATTGCTGTCACATCATCAGGCCATTTAGTCTCCACTGCAGTAGCACGACTCTCTAATTGACCAGAGGCAAATGGAGGATTTGTCCTACACTCCCCACGCTGGCCAGACGGGTTGGGGAGGCAGAACTATTGATGTATTTGATTAAACACAGTATATCATAGAAAACACTCAGATCAACTTGAAAAAATGTGCACATAAACGTTCGAACCCGTGACCTCTGGCATGCTACCTAGGCCTAACTGTAGCGAGTGAACCACTAGGTCAAGCGGCCGACACTAACGATTTGCCGTTGGATGCTGGAGACAAATTATATCCGCTTGCTACGATTTGTCCCATCTAAAGAATGTAATGTATACTATTGTTCTGGCAGTTTTCGGTTTAATTCCCAGGTTGGATATTACGCATGCATTGAATCAAACTGTTTGCGATTATGATTCCTTGATGATTCTATGCTTCAAAGTAAAGTTCATGGTCACAGTGCTTTTAGGGGATGAATTTGGAAAAATTGACTTATTCCAGTAGTGAGTTTCTTCCGCCACTTCTTTTCGGTGCTAGGGCATGCTTATACTTGGCACGTCTATACGTGCCCTAGATAGGGCCTACATGGCTACACACTAATAAACAATTTGACTTATTCCAGGTTACGATGCCCTAGAGAGGACGCTACAATATCGGTTCAAAGACCGCTCTCTACTACTTCAAGCTTTGACTCACGCCTCGCACCAAAAGAACCGGCTCACCGACTGCTATCAACGGCTGGAGTTCCTTGGAGACGCCATCTTGGGTGAGTGAAAGAGAGAGAGAGATTCTGTGTGTCAGCTACTCAGGTCAGAAGATAGGGCTCACCGACTGCTATCAACGGCTGGAGTTCCTTGGGGACGCCATCTTGGGTGATCTAATGAAAGTGAAAGAGAGAGAGAGAGGTTATGTGTGTCAGCTACTCAGGTCAGAAGATAGGGCTCACCGACTGCTATCAACGGCTGGAGTTCCTTATTTTAGACGCCATCTTGGGTGAGTGAAAGAGAGGGAGAGAGATTATGTGTGTCAGCTACTCAGGTCAGAAGATAGGGCTCACCGACTGCTATCAACGGCTGGAGTTCCTTGGAGACGCCATCTTGGGTGAGTGAGTGAGTGAGAGAGAGATATGACAGGTCAGAAGAAGCGGCTCACCGACTGCTATCAACAGCTGGAGTTCCTTGGAGACGCAAAGAGATTGTGACAGGTCAGAAGGTTAGGCGATGCCATATAGAAATTGTGTGTGCTAGGTACTCAGGATAACTGGTGTTGAATAAGCAATCAGTTTTCATTATTTCCACTTCATGTCTCCGCTCCGCATTGGTCGAAACGGGGCCATATTATCCCGTATCTTAAAATATTTAAATGCGAAAGTTTGTGTGGATGGATGTCTGGATGTTTGTTACTCTTTCACGCAAAAACTATACAACGGATTTTGATGAATTAGTATTATTGTTTACTAGCTTACCCCGCGAACTCTGTTCCGCCTTAAATAATTAATAAATAAGCCATCCGCAATCAGCAAAATAAAAATGAATTGATGTTCGTTAGTCTGATTAAAACTCGAGAACGGCTGGGCCGATTGAGCTGATTTTGGTTTTAAAATGTTTGTCGTAGTCCAGGGTAGGTCTAAACGGTGAGCAAATACGCGCGCGATATTGTTTTTCTGTGACAGACAAAATTCCACGCGGGCGAAGCCGCGGGCGGAAAGCTAGTAGGCTATAATTTATGACGATCTGTGACAAACTAAATTTCACGGGCGTGAATCCGCGGGCAAAAGCTAGTATTTTGTACATTTATTTCTTTCGTATCTTTTGTATAATATACTTTTCTTGTCTAGTGTGGTGTACAATAGTGTTTTCTATCTATCTGTCTGTTATAGACTACCTGATCACGCGGCACTTGTACGAGGACCCGCGGCGGCACTCGCCCGGCGCGCTGACGGATCTACGCTCAGCGCTCGTCAACAACACCATCTTCGCGACCCTGGCCGCGCGACACGGCTTCCACAAGTGAGTTCACACAGTTAATGCTAGATGGCGCTGATTCGTGCGACGCTCTCCATAGGAGAGCGCCGCCTCGCGTACAAACCTGCATCGCGGTGATGAAGTTTTTTACCCCGGCTGGTATACAGGGTGGAAACGTTAAGTGATCTCACTCGGTTATTTCTAAACTATACAAGATATTGAAAAACTGGATACTGATCCTGAAAGTGCTTCATGAGCTCTTTCAAACGGTACCAATAAATAGGTTACAGAATAAACTGGATCTTTCTGAAAATTCAATGTTTCCAGCTTCCATACTAAATGTATGCCAACCACACAATATTAGAAATGTTTTTTCTTTTAATTAAATAATAAACTTAAAATAAACTCATAATTATGCATTCTTATCTAGAATTACTAGCACTTAGTTTTAAGCACTTTTAGTTATAGTAATTTCATGTATGCGTGTTTGTCTTGTTGGTTGTCCTAATAAATAAAATAAAATAAATAAAATAAAATAAATTAGTTATGGCAAACATTAGTTTTAATCCTTACTTGCTATAATATTATCAAGAGATGACTGCCTTGACTGTGGTAGTACTAAATGTATGGAAGATGGAAACATTGAATTTTTGGATAGATCCAGTTTATTCTGTAACCTATTTTTAATACCATTGGATAGAGCTCGTGAAGCACTTTTAGGGTCTGTAACCAGTTTTACGATATCTTGTGTAGTTTTTAATATTACATGGCTTTACCAAATGTATGGAAGCTGGAAACATTGAATTTTCGGATAGATCCAGTTTATTCTGTAACCTACAATCGATACCGTTTGATAGATATCATGATGCACTTTCAGGATCAATAACTAGTTTTTTGATATCTGGTATAGTTTAGAAATAATCGAATGAGATCACTTATCGTTTCCACCCTGTATAAATAGGAGGACCGAGATTTATTTTATTTTATTTTATTTTATTGTTAGGAAAACAAACAGCATTCTATAACACATTAGAGTTACCAATTAAACTTCACATTTGCCAAAATAGTTTTCACAAATAGTTTATACATAGGTATCGTTTTTAAAAATTGAGTAAACAGAAACAGAAAAAGAAAATATTTTTTTTAGATTCTATGTTAAATATACCTACTATGACTTGGCAATTAATTTAAACTCGAAATATCGAAATATCGCATCGTTGTTAAAACAATAAATAGTTAGGTAATTACTGTTTTAACAACGACCTAAATTTGTTTGGTTTTAGGCTGAAAATATCTAAGTGACAGTATTTGGAGTTATACAATTTCATTGATCTTAGAATAAATCGGTTCATCGCATAATTAGTACGGCAAGAAGAAATGGCAAATGTATCGCATGACCTCATGTTCGCTCTCGGACATCGCAACAAAACCTTACTCAAAAGGTAGGGCGAGTCAACATAGCCATTAACAACNAGCATATTTTTTATGTTTCTAGCAAAAATTTTGTATCTTGCATCAAAGATAGGAAGTTGATTATTTTTTTTAAAAATCTGCAATTAATAGGGAATCTGTCAAAAAAAAGAAATCTGAGAAAAGTCGACCCAAAAAAAAGATAAAAAAATTTAAAGCCTACTGGGTCATACAATTTGAAAAAATCACAAAATTGACGATAACTTCTAAACTATGAAAAATCGTAGAACATACATGGGGGTGAAATCGATAGGTCTAGTCCTCACCTATCACCTGCCTTCGGCTTGACACCTTACAAGAAACACCCTGTATAATACAATGGCGAAGCCTCACATTGACTATTTGATTGAAATTTGGGGGTCTGCGGCCAAATCTAACCTTAAACTTATACAAACATCACAAAATAAATTAATAAAAACACTATTCCAATATGACTACCTGACGGCAACAGCAAAACTATAGGTGTTTCTTGTAAGGTGTCAAGCCGAAGGCAGGTGATAGGTGAGGACTAGACCTATCGATTTCACCCCCATGTATGTTCTACGATTTTTCATAGTTTAGAAGTTATCGTTAATTATGTGATTTTTTCAAATTGTATGACCCAGTAGGCTTTAAATTTTTTTTTCTTTTTTTTGGGTCGACTTTTCTCAGATTTCTTTTTTTTGACAGATTCCCTATTAATTGCAGATTTTTGAAAAAAATAATCAACTTCCTATCTTTGATGCAAGATACAAAATTTTTGCTAGAAACATAAAAAAAATGCTTTTAGCGGAACATTCTAAAATTTTCAACTTAAAGGTTTGAAAAAAAAAAGAACTTCCATAGGTCCAAAATAATTTTCAAAACTGCGCAGTTTTCTGAACTTTCATAATAACATAAAAAAACATGTACTTAATAGGCCATTATTTTCGGTAATCGCTCCACTCAAGTGGGAAGTTGGAGATTTCGTTACATGTTTTTTACTTTCTTAGGACTAAGTAATGTTTGAAATCCCTTAAGTTTACGTTATGTAGAACACATTAAGAAACAATATCTGAAAAGAACATTTTTTATCCACAACGAGGAAGCTCTTGCCCTTCATCTGGTATACAATAGGGAATATGAAAATATTGATGAACTGCGGACAAAGCTGACTGAAGCACAAAACCAAATTAAAATGAAGAAGAAGGTTTTACGAAGATTTTTTTGCGTCGTTGTCGAATGTGCATTCAGGTCAACGGCGGACATTTTGAACATTTACTTTAAATTAAATTATTACACCCATTTTTGCTTTTTTTTTTAACTTTTAAGTTGAAAATTTTAGAATGTTCCGCTAATAGCATATTTTTTATGTTTCTAGCAAAAATTTTGTATCTTGCATCAAAGATAGGAAGTTGATTATTTTTTTCAAAAATCTTCAATTAATAGGGAATCTGTCAAAAAAAAGAAATCTGAGAAAAGTCGACCCAAAAAAAAGATAAAAAAATTTAAAGCTTCTGGGTCATACAATTTGAAAAAATCACAAAATTAACGATAACTTCTAAACTACGAAAAATCGTAGAACATACATGGGGGTGAAATCGATAGGTCTAGTCCTCACCTATCACCTGCCTTCGGCTTGACACCTTACAAGAAACACCCTGTATAAGATACTGGGGATTCCAGACAGTCGATGGTAAGTAATTAGACCCGAGCACGATATAAGCTTGGAAAGAAGCAATTCCACCTTAGCGTCCTTACGCCCGTATTCAAAAACATTACTATGAAGTCTTCCATTGCGCGTGGACGCACAGGGTGACACACAAACCAATCACAGAGCTTCTACTCAACGCTGTGCGTTCGATTTGCTGCTTCACTTAAGCAAGCATCGTTTGTGAATACGGATGTTATTGTGGTTGACTAAAATCTTCCTCAAGAAAGTAATCATCAGATCGTTTGTGGGTCCTAGCGCTTAACTAAGTCAGCCTGAGATACGGCCACTGCCTCAGTAAGCGCTAGACCTATAACGCTGACTTCTGGATCACGCGGCATCTGTACTCTACTATAAGTGCCTGAGATATGGCACTGACTCGATAGACTGACGGACCTGCGCTAGGCTCTCGTCAACAACACCATCTTCTCTTCGCGACCCTGGTCGCGCGCCACGGCTTTCACAAGTGATTCAATCCCTTTCTAGGGTACTTATTTATACACGTCCCAAATATAGCTTGCCCTACCACCACTTCGGGACAACATATGGGCTGGTGCTGAGAAGAAGTGGCGGAAGAAACTCAGTCACCTTTGTTAATCTACATTAGTTGTTAGTAGGTACGTAGCCTCCACTCCAGAAACTTGCTGCTATATGGGCGGTCAGTTCAGCGTGCTATATGCCACAATTCAACGTGGAAAACATTGGGGGAGGCCTATGTTCAGCAGTGGACGTCCTATGGCTGAAATGATGATGATGATGAATGTTAATATCTAATTGTTTTGTTCCAGATACTTCCGCCACATGTCGCCCGGTTTGAACGAGGTGCTCACGAAATACGTGAAGATACAGGAGGAGAATGGACATTCCATCAGCGAGGAGGTAATTTTATTTTACCATTATTTATTTATATCTCCTGTAGATCCGTTCCTTTTCAAGGCGAGAGTGAATAGGCACTTACAGGGCAGATATGTACCATCCTAGACTGCATCCCACTTAACACCAGGTGCGATTGCGGTCAAATACCTGGCTTGTCTTGCATACAAAACCCACTTGTGACACAAGCATGTTCATTATTTAGCTTTACACGTAGGCTTATTGATAATGTTATTAATTTTTGCACTGAACTACATCAATCATTCGTTGTTCATGCAGTCGTTTCTGTCGATCTTTCACTTATTCACTCATTCGTTCCTTCATCCATCCGTCGTATACTCGTTCGTTTGTTCTATCGCTCATTCATTAATTCGTTCATTCGTTCCAGCACTACCTGATACAAGAGGACGAAATGGAGCAAGCGGAAGACGTGGAAGTCCCCAAAGCATTAGGAGACTTGTTCGAGTCTGTAGCCGGCGCTATATTCCTGGACTCAGGTAATCATCATCATCATCATCATTTCAGCCACAGGACGTCCACTGCTGAACATAGGCCTCCCCCAATGATTTCATCGCCCGGTTGGTAGCGGCCTGCGTCCAGCGCCTTCCTGCTACCTTTATGAGGGCGTCGGTCCACCTTGTGGGTGGACGGTCTACGCTGCCCGTGGTCCCGGCTAATCCCATCGGCCCCCCATTAAGTGGTGGGTCCCATCGTGTAGAGCAAACATCATGTAGGCAGATTTTTCTGTTCGGTTTGGTTGGTGGTAGGGCTTGTTCTAAGTCCGCCTGGCTAGCTATAACCACCATAACCACCATCATCTTACCTAAGTCTGTCGCCATAACAACAATGTTAACAGCATTGCTGTGTTCCGGCAGTTAGAGGTAAGATAGCCAGTTCTTCTGGTTGAGGATTCCGGGTGAAGCTCGCTTCCACCTTCGGCCTGATCGTCACTTACCATCAGGTGAGATACAGGCCAAGAGCTTCCCCCTTATGGATAAAAAAAATGTAACTTACATTTCTAAATAGGAATGTCTCTGTGCTGCTACAATGGTGACCAAATTAACTGATGATGTACCTTCTCTTCAACAGGCATGTCTCTGGGTGCGGTATGGAAGTCATATGTGAATCTTATGGGAGCAGAATTGGAAGCCTTCAGTGCCGCCGCACCTAAATCACCAGTCAGGGAGCTTTTGGAAGCAGAGCCGGACACTGCTAAGTTTGGGTAAGTTATTATCATTCAAATTCTTCATTAGTTTGTAGGCGTGATCAAATCAGAGATTAGGAGATCCGTAGTTTGGGTGAGTCGTTGAGTTTTCGCGCATGGACGGACACTTATGCTAGTGTCATGTCTTTTCGCGCAAACGTCCATTCGCACTTATGTCTTTTCGCGCAAGTGTCCTTTCGCACAAATGTCTTTCGCGCTAGTGCCTTTCGCGCAATAGGGATGATGACTGGGTAATGAAATCGAAATTCAATTTAGCCCATTAGACAGATAAAAAAAAATTTTGGACACATATTTTTTAATTTTTTTCATAATCGAATAATTACAGTATTATATTGAGTTGAAATGTCGCGTGAATTCACTTTTGAGTAAAACATCTACTCAAGCGTGACGTATCGCGCCATTTCAACTCGATGTAGCACTGTTATTATACAGGGTGTTAGGTAAATGGGTATATGAGCCGACACTAGCCCATGTTAACATGGTCATATAAATGGTATGGTGAATGCAGAAAATTGATATCTTCATTTTAATTATTTTAATTTTCATACAAATCGGTATTATAAAATTTATTTTGTATGAAAATTTAAAAAAATAAAATGATTATATCACTGACTTCACCATACCATTTATATGCCCATGTTAACATGGGCTAGTGTCGGCTCATATACCCATTTACCTAACACCCTGTATAATTATGAAAGAAAATAAAAAATATGAGTCTAATATTTTCTAATTATCTGTCTGACGGACAAATAATTGAAATTTTGTCATCTAGCCTATTTTTTTTATCCACAACGAGGAAGCTCTTGGCCTGTATCTCACCTGATGGTAAGTGACGATCAGGCCGAAGGTGGAAGCGAGCTTCACCCGGAATCCTCAACCACGGAGCAACTGGCTATCTTACCTCTAACTGCCGGAACACAACAATGCTGTTAACATTGTTGTTTATTTATTTATTTATTTATTGACAAAGATCTACCAACAACACATCTTTACACAAACAAGTAATGCATGCAATGCATGTTATAGTTATTGTACCAGCAGAACCAAGTGATGGTGATGATGAACTTTATAGTAGCCCTTTTAACACCAAATTCCTTGTCCACAGCAAACCAGAGCGTTTAGCAGACGGCCGCCGCGTCCGAGTTTGTGTTGAAGTATTTGGACGTGGCGCCTTCAAAGGAGTCGGAAGAAACTATCGCATTGCTAAAGGGACCGCCGCTAGGTGTGCCCTTAGGCACCTTAAGGCACATGCTGCCAGGTAGCATAAAGGAAGGCTGTATTTGTAAGAACAGAAGAGATAAGAAGAAACTTACCATATATAACTTACCATCAAGTCTACACATAAAAAAATACGCCTGTCACATATAAAAAATTGCAGTCATCATCAAATCAAATTAAATCAAATCAAAAGCAAGACTGTCTTTAGACACTATGAAAGAAATATTTTATATCGACGCGCCACTACAAACTAGTTGCAATCTTCGCCCAACAGATGGCGCTGATACATGCTTTACTATGGCACACGCGATCGCGCCTATAAACCTGAATCGCGGTATCAAAGTTTTTTACCCCGACTAGTATATATAGAAAACCGGTTGGTCGGTTGTTGATCATCAAAACCCACACCATCATCAGGTCATTTACGCCCGTATTCACAAACACTACTATGACGTCTCACAGTGCGCGTGGACGCACAGGATGACACACGAACCATCACAGAGCTCTATTCGACGCTGTGCGTTCGATTTGCTGCTTCATTTAAGCAAGCATCGTTTGTGAATACGGGCGTGACTCTCACTGCAAGAGTAAGACGTGAAAGCACAAAATAGATAGCAGCAGAAGATAATCTACATACAAAGTGCGCTCGGACAACGTACACATTGACAACGCTACTGGTCACACGCTAATAAACGCAAACCAGTTTAAACCAGTGACGCTGGACTAAAAATCAAAAATCAAAATCAAAAATATTTATTCAGTTTAGACCACAAGTGGCACTTATGAACGTCAATAGAAAATAATAAAAAAGAAAAAGGTAGCCCTTATGGGGCACTTTACATGTCTCCTTATCTTTTGGGCCCTACCAGCCAGACTGAGTGTAAAAGTAAAGTAAAAAGTATTTTATTTGCCAAAAAAAGAATTACAGTTTGTTTATCTAGCGGCTGCTGCACTAAGCTGTGCTTGCCCTCTGGACACGCTTGTGTCGCAAAATGAAGTGCATACAAGGTGATTGTTTTCTGGTACTATCTGTTGTGTGCGTAAAAGTGTTTGTATAAAGCGCCTTCAAGGGAGTCGGAAGAAACTATCGCATCGCTAAAGGGACCGCCGCTAGGTGTGTCCTTAGGCTCATGCTGCGAGGTAGCATAGAGACAGAAAGATGTAGCAGCATCATCATCAGGTCATTTAGTCTCCACTGCAGGTACCCATACACCTATACAGGGTGGAAACGATAAGTGATCTCATTCGATTATTTCTAAACTATACAAGATATCGAAAAACTGGTTACTAATCCTGAAAGTGCTTCACAAGCTCTTTCCAACGGTACCAATATTAGGTTACGGAATTAACTGGATCTATCCGAAAATTTAATGTTTACAGCCTCCATACTAAATGTATGCCAGCCAAACAATAATAGAAGTATTTTTTTTATTAAATAATAAACACATAAAATGAACTCGTAAATTGCATTCTTATTTAAAATTATTCGTGGAAAACATTGGTTTTAGGCTTTTACTTGCTATAATATTAACAAGACATGTTGAGTGCCATGACTGTGGCTGTAATAAATGTATGAAGCTGGAAAAATTGAATTTAAGAATGGATCCAGTTTATTTTCTAACCTATATTGGTACTCTTAGATAGAGCTCGTAAAGCACTTTCAGGATCAGTAACCAGTTTTTGAAAATATTGTATAGTTTTTAATATTATGTGGTTTTACTAAATGTATGGAAGCTGGAAACATTGAATTTTTGGATAGATCCAGTTTATTCTGTAACCTATCATTGGTACCGTTTGAAAGAGCTTGTGAAGCACTTTCAGAATCAGTAATCAGTTTTTCGATATCTTGTATAGTTTAGAAATAATCGAGTGAGATCACTTAACGTTTCCACCCTGTAGAATGAAGAAGTTTCGTGATGTTGAAAACATTATATTTCACTGAATGGAATTAAAATATAGACCAAAACACAAAAGATGTTTAAATTTTTCTATAAATCCATCAAGAAATGGCTCTGAGAAATTGATTATTTAAATTACCTACATATTTTCGCGTAGAACTTACACAGGCGGTGCGTTGAATTCACGCCACCCGTTTTAGTTTCAACCACAATGTTTACCACCCTGGTTGTCTGCGTTGTCGAAAATGACACTATATGTCAGTCTTCTTCTTCTTTTTTGTTTATGGCCAGGTCTAGGATATGATATGTCAAAAAAGGTTACAAAATAATTTTATTAAGAAAGAATCTTAAGTGACTGGCTGAAAAATTAAAAACTACTAGATTGTTTAAAAATTGGATCTGTGAACAGCACTGGTCCAGGGGTGATTCACTGTTTGTACTCCAAATGAGTGCCGTGACGTCACCGATCAAATGGCGCGAAATACTTAGATATATTTTCATGATTCTTTCAATATTATTATTGGTTTTACTTATACATATTTTCAAGTTTTATTAATAGAAAAAAAAACTGGAAACTTCTCCATTATAAGTCAAGAAAAGTGAAGCACTTCAAACTAGATAATTGGCTCAGTATACGTTCTGACAGTTGTCAAAGTCAAACGAAAAATCAAAACATATAATCATGACATTTATTATGACGTAATGACATTTGCATCACTTTTGACGAAGCGCCTGTATGGACTAGCTATCGATCTAGGTATTATTTATCTAAGTTTTTTATTTGTAACCAAATAATAAAAACAGAAAAAAATAGTTGGCAGCATCGAAAATCGAGAGCTAAAACTTAAAAGACACAGAAAGAGGGTAGAAAAATAAGGAAAAATGCTCGGAAATATAAAAATGGAAAGAAATTAGCTTTACATGTGTGTTGGCTCGCTACTGTTCGTTGTTCAAAAGATTTGATAGACATTACACTATCGTTATGTGCATGTACACGTACACACAAGTAAAGCTCACTTGCCTTCGTGAGTTGCAAGAACTATAAAAACAATGTTTCACTATAGTCTGGTCGGTGAGCACGTAGAATTTTGTCCAATGACCGCACAGTCGCGACAGCAATAATAATTACGCGCGAGCGATAAGGATGGGTAGCTTGGGGTCATTGGACAAAATTCTACGTGCTCACGGACCGGGCTTTAGAAAATAAATGTGAATGTACGTTTGTGACGTCACTTTTTGACTAAGCTGACCGAATTATTGACGTTTTATAGCTATAAAAATAATATTAAAGTGAACTTTTTTCCTAATAATTACGAGTAAATGTATTTTTTCAATGATGAATATAATTTATTATTATTGTGTCCGTGTGTCAATATTTCTTTTGTTTTATACATAATAGTATGTAGATAAAGGTGGATTTATATTTGTCTGACGTGTTATGTCACCATGACGCATCAAAACGGAAACGGTTCTATACATTTAGTTTTTTTTTACTTGGTACTAAATAAAATCTTCTTCTTTCTTTAGTATGGTAATGTTCAAACTAGTGTTGTGACATGTCATGATTTTTGACGTGTCGCATACTAAACGTATGAACGCGATTCCGTTCTGATGCGTCATGACACAACACGTCAGACAAACATAAATCCCCCTGAAGACACTAAGAAAATGGATCTCTATTTTTTGTGCTATTTCAATACGTGATTTAGTATTAAAGTTCTTTCGAATTAGTCGTTTTGAGTAGGACATCAGACGTGCGTTTGTAAGACCATACACCAATCAGGATGGCGCTACTGTTATTACAAAAACGATAGACCTTATTTTTATACAATTTGCAGTCCTGCAAACGGAAGACTAACGTCCGGCTCAAAACGTCTTATTTTAAAGCTCCCTTAAGGTACATTCACACTAGTGCAGTCAGCGTCAAATATGTTGTGACACCCAAAGTGGCCAAAAGATGACAACACAACCTTATTCCAATGTAACAAAGACGTGTTGCGAACTTTTTGGCTACTTTGGGTGTCACGAACTATTTGAGGCTAACTGTACACACGTGCAGGTACGTAAGTCATATTATGTGGTTGTACCTATTTTAATCAGGTTTTAATTTTCCAACGACTGGTGTGTAAGTGTAGGTAAGTGCGACGCATCCAACTATATATCTTTATTGCAAACTAAAGCCCGGTCTCCGAGCACGTAGAATTTTGTCCAATGACCCAAGCTACCCATCCTTATTGCTCGCGCGTAATTATGTTGCTCGCACACTCACTGCGGCCGCCCGTCGCACAGTCGCGACAGCAATATAATTACGCGCGAGCGATAGGGATGGGCAGCTTGGGGTCATTGGACGAAATTCTACGTGCTCAGCAACCAGACTATAGCTCTTATTACAATTAAATTAAGGTGCCACTTTGTGTAGCTCGATGTGCCGGTGTCTTTACTATGATGTGATTCACTTATAGCCAAGTATAGCTCTACCGCTCAACTCAGTCAGTGCCTGATGTATGGGAGGGGTGATTGTGACATTATGACGTGATAGCGTAAAAATCTGAAGTCTCGCTGACAATGAGGGTTTACGCTATTTAAAAATCCGCTATTAGGGATGTTTCCTGGGTCAAAAAGCAAGAGTTTTAATTAGTCCGTCAGTTAACTTATCAAAAAATACTCAACACGTATTTTACACTTATTCAACCTAATGAAAATTTAAAGAGATAAAGCGCGCCAAAGTTCATAAGAAGAGGCCCGTGACGTCAATGCGTGCATAAAAGTGCCGCACGTTGTGACGTCGTGCGGAACTTCAACGCACCATAACTATGTAATTATTTGTTAGATTGACAAATAAAAATATATGTGTCCAATATTTTTTGATATTAAACATTACGGACTAAAAAAATTTTTTTAGGAAAATAGCCTAACCAATCATGCAGCATTTGGACCTCGCGTCTACGTATTGCCATCTGGCGGATTTATCAATCGCGAAAACCCTCATTGACGTAACAAAAAACACCCTTCCATGCCGCTCCTATACCCCAGGCACAGACTGAGTTTTGCGCTGGGTCTAATAGATTTTAATGTATTTATAGTGTAATATGTATTTTCTATCTATCAATGGGCACTATTTTTAAACGATTTACTATCTCAGTTTAAAGGTGGATTTATATTTTTCTGACGCGCTGTGTCATGACGCATCAGAACAGAATCAGTTTCATAAAAATGGCAATGCCAGATTTTGTATGGAAGGTGGCATCTTTTTTTTTTCGCGCGGCCATCAACAAAACTTTGTTTTTTGATTACAAAATAGTGTAATAAACCAAACTTGCTATGACATGTATACCTCTAAACTCAGTCTGAACTGAGTTACGAGCATTAGAAGTTTGATAATTTTACATACTAGATTTGCTTTTTGCGCGCAAGTTTTTTAAGAAATTGCAACAAAATATTGCGCTATTTTTTTATTGCGCTGATTCTGCTCCACACTGATGTCTGGAGCCTTTAATGGATGGTATTGTTTGTTTACACATACAATGCCACTATTTTGTTGCAATTTCTCACAAAACTTGCGTGCAATAAAAAAACTAAAACCCAACTACGACAAAAAACGACGCTGAAAAAGTATAAAACAAGATTTTTAGAATACTGAACTGAACGAAGTTGCATAGTAATTTTCATGTTTGGAAAACCGCAGTCACACGTTGTCAAAGTGCTACGGTAAGTAGGTTTAAGTAACGTGTGACTACGCCTTTCCAAACATGAAAATTACTATGCAACTTCGTTCAGTTCAGTATTCTAAAAATCTTGTTTTATACTTTTTCAGCGTCGTTTTTTGTCGTAGTTGGGTTTTAGTTTTTTTACTTTTTATTATTTGTACTATTTTGGTGTTAAAGTGTATTTGTGGCGCA